ATATGTGAGCAGCGGCAGATGACCGAGCAAGGTGAGCCCGCCCTGCCCCTAGCATGCTTTCTGCTCATGCTGCGCCAGCCAGACTGGAGAGGGGCCGGGCATTGGGGTCAATAAATAAGCCAGAACAGGAAAATTATTGAGGAAGGACAAACAACTAGGGATCCATCAGGACTTGTAAGCAATGGAACACACTGCCTTTTAAAAAGATCCTGACCCACTTCCTCTCTCCTGCTTACTCTAAGAAGGTCAGGACTGGGTCAGCTTGTAATTCACTTCTCCTAGGTGGCTTGCTGTGCTAGCCAAGGCTGGCTCAGTGGGAAAGCAGGACCAGAGGCAGCTCAGGAAGAGCACAGAAAGAAAGCAGTGATATTTGCTTGAGTTGAGTCGAGTGGTTAAAAACCCAGTTGTTCTTTCCAGAGGCATTTGCTTGCTTATGACCATCTCTGAAAGCATACAGCCATTCAAGACCCAAAGAATGTTTTTGGCACCTGGACAGATAACGAAGGAGCTGATCTGTGGGGAGCCATAAAAATCTTTTTGCCATCCCTGAAGTCAAGCCCACTCATAAAGCCAATCCTGCCAGGGTGGGTCATGGTGTTAATAAAGCCAGGAGACAGTTTATAAATCCCAGAATCCCCAGTGTTGCCAACCAAGTTGTATTAGGAGCCTGTGGAGAGGCTGCAGAGAACTCAGAGGAGGTGGGAAGCCTGCTCCTACCTGGCAGAGTTCAGGAATGGCCTGATTGGCGGGGTGAAAAGTTTATCTTTTCTCTTTTCCCTGCAAAGTTCGCAGCATTTGTAAGATCTTAGCCATGAGCGCCGTCCGCAACAACCGTCTGGGCTCTGCCCTGTCTTGGAGCATCCGAGCCAGAGACGCTGCCTTTGCCACGCTGGTGTCAGACAGGTGGGTTCGACCGCTCCTGGCTTTCTAGGGACTGTCCAGGAAGTTGGGAGGCTGAGGAAGGGGCCCTGGGACAGCTGCTTAGACCTCTGGGCCTGGCTTGCAGGTTCCTCAAGGATTACTGTGAGCGAGGCTCCTTTTCTGACCTGGATCTCATTGACAACCTAGGGCCAGCCATGATGCTCAGTGATCGACTGACCTTCTTGGGTGAGTCTCTGGTCTCTGTGCCTGGGACCTTTGGCATAGTGGTGGGTTGTGCAGATGGGAGGGACTGATTTAGGCATCTCCAGTGTTCGTTCCTGTTGAGCCCAAACTCCTAGGACCACGTATGCCGGACTCTGCAAAGCATATTTTCTAACATTTCCCAGGAATGTCAGACTTAAAAGTCTGAAAGTAGTATAAGGACTAAGGAACTCCCATGTATACTTTCTCCAAATGCACCATTTTTATTTATTTATTTTTTAAATTTTTTTCTTTCTTTCTTTTTTTTTTTTTTGGATTTTATGTATTAGAGACAGAGAGCATGAGCGAGAGAAGAGTGAGCAGTAATGGGGGGCAGGAAGGGCAGCGGCAGCAGGAGAGGGAGAAGCAGGTTTCCCGCTGAGCTGGGAGCCCCATGCGGAGCTCCATGCGTGGCTAAAGCCCAGGACCCTGGGAACACTAACTGAGCCGAAGGCAGACGCTTAACCGACTGAGCCACCCACGTGCCCCATTCACTCAGGTTCTTGGGGAACAATCTGAAAGTAAGTTGGAGACTTTGTTCCCCTAAGAACAAGAACATCCTCTTTAGAGAACCGGCTGTCTGCACTGCTTTTATCAGATCTGCGGTCCCAGCGGTGTCTTTTTTTGTTGTTGTTAAAGATTTTATTTATTTGACGGAGAGACCGATCACAAGCAGCCAGAGAGGCAGGCAGAGAGAAAGGGGGGGAAGTAGGGAGCCAATGTGGGGCTCCATCCCAGGGCCCTGAGATCATGACCTGAGCCAAAGGCAGAGGCTTAACCACTGATCCCTGCCCCCAGGCGCCCCCCAGCGGTGTCTTTTATTCATTCACGAGTTCAGTTTTCCTCTCTAGTGTTTCCGCCTCTCTTGGTCCTTCTTTTCCTTGACATTTTTGAAGAGTCTGTTCTGCTCTCTTGTGGAATGGCCTCAGTTTGGATTTATCTCGTGTTTCCTCATGGTCAGATTGAGACTTGCGGGTTCTTTGCTCTGTTGTAGTCTCTTGTTTGGTTTGATGGTTACATTCTCCCAGGTTTGGCTCTTTGGAGTCCCTCCAAAATGTGTTTTTTTCAGTCCCATTGGTCTCACTGGTCCAGGAGTTTGGAGGCAGTTCTGGAAGGATCTCCCTGCTCTGGAGTCTGGGATCTTTTTGTCTTGTTTGGACCAGAGGTGAACTAGTGCTCTGTTTTCTCACTAGGAAAGTACCGCGAGTTCCACCGATTTTACGGGGAGAAGCGTCTTACTGATGCGGCTTCTCTTCTCCTGTCACTGATGACTTCCCAGATTGCCCCACGGTCTTTCTGGGTAATACTGCTAATAGATGCCTTGCCCCTTTTGGAAGAGAAAGAGGTACAGTTTGAATGATTTTCCTCGGTGTCTCCTAGTCCCTGACTGTGCTTCCTTCCTTAGCTGTTGCAGATGCACATCTGTATGTCCTCTTCCAGGTGGGGCCCTGCACGTGTGCGCGGATCCCCCATAATGCCCACTCTGGAAACCCAGTATCTACACAAGAAAAGCTACTTAATTGGAAAGGAGGCAACTGTCTACTGACAGTATTCAGCTTAGGGCCAGGACAAGAAGGGCTGGGAGTGAGCGTAGGGGCTGTCTGTCCTCCCAAGGCTGCATGTCCACTCCCAGAGGGCACGCACAGGAGGCCATCTCTGAACCTGGGCACATGCCCAAACCAGTGGAAACCAGCCAAGGGGAGCAGCTAAGCAAAGCAGCCTCTCTCCTCTCTCCTAGGTGGTTTTTTCAGCAGAGCAAACATACGAGTTGATGAGATGTCTAGAGGACTTCGCCTCAAGAAGGCCAGTGTGGAGAGAGCCTGGTGTTCAGCGAATCCAGGTTATTATAGCTTTCAGATTGTTGATTCCATAATGGCAATGAGAAAAGGCTTCTTCTATTTTGGACTCCCCTGCTTCCTTCCAGAAACGCTGGCCCCTTACAAACTTGTACTTCTTGAGTTACCTCTTAACCTGTAACTAACACACCCAACTTCTTTTAGGAGGAAGTGGGGTTTCTAGGTGTTCTCATCTCTACTTTTCTGGTACTCAGTCACAGTGGGCCTTTGCCTGCAGTTCTTCTGTCAACAACTTGCTGGAAGCTCCTACTAAATATTAAATGCCCTTGGTCTGCCTTTGGGTCAGACAGAGCCTTAAAGAAGGAACACTTCCTGCCGTGCCTCACGCTGGCTACCTTTGCTTTTAGGAGGACGTCGAGAACACCAAGTTGGAAATGCTGAGACTTGCTCTTGCACGCAATCTCGGCCGTGCCATTATAAAGGAAGGCTCTTTGGAAGGCTCCTGAGACCACCTGAGAGCGGCTTCAACGTGGCATCTTTGTATGGCAGTGTATATACATTTTTGAACGAATAAATTTCTGCCCCCAAATAGAAGGGAAGTTCTTAAGAGTCCAGCTGGGGAGTTTTTCCCTGCCTCTACTGTGAACCTGAGGTGGTAGAAACTGAGAAAGTGCTGCTTCCTGGATGGAACTGATTTCTGTCTCCCAAGAGAAAAAACCGCTCCTAGCAGTTAGGGTGGGGAATCCAGTGCCCTCCTCCTAGCAGCTCAAGCAAGGTGGTGAGTGGTTTATTTATGCTTTAGAAATCCAGCCTTTAGAATCAACTGTAACATTTATTCTTTCTTTCCTTTAGAAAAGGTCCAGGAACCTGTACTTTCATCAACTAAAGTGTCCGGTGATGCCAGCGTATTTGTCTATATTTGGAATTCCTAAGTGGCACTTCGCCCACAGTGGTGAGGATGGGGTCTGTATTAGGATTCCAGGTAGGGCAGAAATGATTTTATTTAACATGCAGCAGAGCAAGGGCAGCAGATCGGTATATGTATACAGCCATTTGTCACAAAGCAGTGACCTCAGTAGTAACACTCAGATAATTTTGATGTCTAAAGCTTATTATAAAGGTCTATTTCCATATCGTAATTCCACAAACCTTCCAAGGGCTGCAAGCAGCTGGTCTCTGGGAAGCTCTTGGGTTTCTTCCTTAAGTAGTGAAACTGATTCACTTTTGACCTGTGCTAATGAAGCCGTGACACCTGCTTGCTCAGGGTGGAGGGAGGGACATAGTGGGGACACCTGGCACAGTGCAGGGAGGGATAAGGGAGTGTGGTCTGTGCCACTTTTCCCCAGAGATGGCTCTGTGCCCTCCAGCTGAGCTCAGGCGAGCTGTGTGCTCTTTGCAGCTGGTGATCCTCACTGGCCTGTTGCCCCGTGAGGCCTCAAGGCCCTGGCCCGGTTGTACCTGGTGTATGGAGCAAGTGGGACAAGCTTTTTGGAGCCGAGCACTGTTGAAATAGGGTCTGGTGACTCGATTCAAGCATGGTCCCTAACCTTACCACCTGCAGAGCGCATATCTCGCTGGGGATGGCCACGGCTCCGGGGCAGCAGGGACGGAGAGAAGTCAAGTGCAAACTGCCTAAGCCTGAGGCCTCCAGTTCCCAAACATGTGCCACACCACAGGCCATCTGGTGGGAAGAGGGGGGCGCCCAAGCAGGAGGACACAGGGTGATGGGAGTTGTTCTCCCCTTCAGAGACTCGAAGGGCAGAAGAGCAGTTTATTTCATGCCAAGCAAGAGGTAGTGAGTAGGATGGCCTGTTCCCATGGCAGGAGGCACACTTTCCCCAGAAAGCTCTGGGTACCTGCTTCCAGAGAAGGGGAAATACTGGTTCTCTTCCATTTTTCTTTTGTATCCCTAGTTTTGACTGTCACAAGACCAAGTTCTGACAGGCTAATTCCCCATTTTACTGAGATGTCCATAGGACACAGCCTGCCATCACCAGAGACAAGCACACAACTCCTCACCCAGTGGCTGTTCCAGGATGCTGCTGCCCACGGAGGGCAGCACTGTGCCAACTTACCCGGTGCCCAGGGCTGTTGAGGGCCACGGGGCTTTGTCTACCTCCCTGGAGGTGGGAGCAAGAGTCTGCCAGCAGGGGAAGCACAGAGTAGTGACATGGGGCTGAGGCCTCTAAGGGTGTGAGGATGTGGTCCTTGAGGGAGAGCCCCGAGTCTCTTAGGGACCTCCCCCTCTTATGGCATCAGGATGCCAGCATGAGGGGGAAAGCCTGCTCCCACCAGGGCCATAGTGCGGAGTCTGGGGCCACTCCCCACCCCTGACAGTACATGGCCACTTCAAGTCACACAGGTAGACAAAAATCAGGTCCTTTTAGGGGGCCAAGGGAGAGAGCATCACAGCAGCAGCCCCGCTCCCAGCAGCGATGCCCAGGGCCCCTGCTCCATATCCAAGCTCCAAACGCTGTATCCAGGATGTGGAGGGTGACTGGACCAGGGAGCCCTCCCTCCCGTCTTGCAGCAGCCTGCCTGGCTTCAGTGTGATGACAGAAAGTCCTCTGGGGTCATAGGTTACCCCACTGCTCCACGGGAGGGAACTGGTCCACCTCGCCCACCTCTGTGCTCAGCTGCTCTCCCAGGGCGAAAGTCAGCCTATACCGAAGCCTCGCCTTCTCCTGTGAGGGACAGAGGACGTTAAGACAGGACCTCAGGGCCCTTTCCCAGCCACTCCTCCCACTTTGTCCTCATTCAGCCATTCAACCCCGGGCAGGGGAGGGACAGGGCGAGCGCCACAGTATCAAAAGCAGGGGCTGAGGGCCTGATTGGGGCCGGGTGGGGAGGGGGTGGAGGGTGGGGGGTAGCCAGGGCTTCAGGCCGGAGCTGGGTTCTAGCTCACCTTCAGTGGATTGGCCAGCAGCATGACCTGGGTGATGGCTGCAGGGGGCTGGATGGGGCTAAATGGAGACAGCTCTGTCCCAGAGGGTGGCTGTAACTTCACCTTCATCGACTGGAGAGAAACAGAAGCTCTTCTGAAGAGCATGGCAGGTGCCCCTGAGCCGGAGCCCACTAGAATCCCAGACACATGCTGCTGCCCATGGGCCTCGGGGTCCCTACCACAGTGGGGTGCCAGGGGTACCTTTGGCACAGCGGCCTGTAGCACGATGCTCTTGATAGGCAAGGGAGCGGTATTCAGCATGGACACCACCACCACGAGCACGTCAGGCCGTCCAGGCGGACACTCCTTGGCAAAGTGGAAGAGGATGCGGAAGCCATTTTTATCATAGGCTGTCACGGGAAGGGCGCTGCCTGTAAGCAGAGATCAGGTGGGTGTGGAAGGAGAAACCCCACAGTGCCTTGAGGGGAGGGTGTGTGGTTGGGCCTGGGCTCCACCTGTGGCCAGCAAGCTCCCTGAAAGAATCAGCCAGAATCCCCCGAGAGAGCACAGTGGCAACAAGCACAGGCTGAGACAGCAGGAAAACCTGTCACACTGGGCTCTAAGAGACTGGGGTGGGGATGGGGCGGGCAAGGAGAGCCTGGGCCCACCCCTCTCCCCGGATCACTGCAAGCGGTGGGTGCCGCCTCCCCCTCCCACCCCAAGCTTCCCACACCTACTTGGCTTGATAGATTCCAGGGGGACGTGGACACTGGCCAGGGAGAGCTCTGGCCCCTTCATGGGGCTGCCCTGGGACTGGAAGGCAGGCGGCTGGAAGAGAGGGCTGCCAGGCCCTGGGGAGAAGGGGAGGAGAGGCCTAGCAGTGGTGCTGGCAGGGATCAGAGGGGAGGTGGTAGCCCCAGGAAAGAAGATGGAAGAGACAGGTTTCACCAGGCCTGAGGTCCTGAGAGGCAGGAAGGAGGACAAGGCAAGTCAGAGGCCAGGGGCAGCTGCTGGGCCAACCCTCACACGTCCTCCAGGGCACACGGCTGGTTCTTACCACCCCTGCCCATTTCCAGAGTCCAGCCAGTAGACCCAAAAGGAACATCCCCGGACCCTCCGGAGTTGCTTTCTGGTTCTGTCAAGTCCAGGCCCAGCCCCCCCTGGCCCCCACATATCCCACTCATTACGCTCTGGTCTCTTCAAGAAGATGGTCAAGGGCATCGAGCTGCTGCAGGCTGCTATCCCCCAAAGCGGAGCCATGGTACCCGAGGGCTGTGGACTCAGCCTTCGGGGCCGGGGCCAGTCCAGTCGGGAACAAGAAGGAGCCTGCTTTGGGGGCAGGAACACTGGCTGGGACCACAGGAGCTGGGAAGGGAGGAGGCAGTGGGGCCTGGGAGCTGCCTGCAGAGGGTGCTGAGGCCGGGACAAGAGGCCCGTCTGAGGGGCTGCAGGAAGCACTCCCAGGCTTGGGGCTGCAGAAGTCCAGGTCCGGCTGCTCGTTCTGCTCGGAGAAAAAGTGTGCGTGAGCTAAGGGCAGGGAGGGCTCTTGCAGTTGGTGGGCTTAGGGTCCCCAGCTGGAGGCCCTACTAGGACTGCACTGGACTAGCAGCCCTCTGCAGGGCTCGGGCCCGCCCTTATGGGATCAGTGTTCTCCGGTGCAGCTGGGGCAGCGCCGCAGCCAACCCCCTCGGAGGATGAGCTGGGAAAGAGGACGCCTGTGGAGCTGGCTGAGCGTTTTGGTGCTGTCCCTACCTGGAACAGGGACCACGGGCTGTTTGCAGCCGACTCTCTGGGAGGAGCAGTGGGGGCTGGGTCAGCAAGGCCTGGAAACGAAAGAAGACAAAGGTGAAGGGGCTCCGGCCCTGGGATAGCTCCGTTCACCCCTGAAGGGTCCCATGACAAAAGTCGCTGACAAAAGGGTGACGGGTGGGGACAGGGTATTTTTCCAGGTAGCCTCCAGAGGGAGAGGGATGCTCTCCAGTCCTTTCGCAGTGGGGGAGGCCTCCAGGGGAGAGGGGACAAAGCAAGACCGTGCACCGTGTCCATCCTGGAGCTTGTGCGCACACCGTCCTGCAGGCCTGAGCACACTGAACTTGCCCCTCCTCACACCTGAAGTCCCCTTCCCTGCCCCTGCTAAGTCCATGAGGCATTCCCGATTCTTCCCAAGTCCGCACGCCCTTGGCTCTGCTGAGCCCATCCCGAGAAGCCCTTCACGGCCTCCCTCCGAGACGCACCCAAGCAGAGCAGCTCCTCGTCCAGCAGGCAGAGGGCGCTGCTTGTGCTGTTGGGTCCCGCGGTGGCTTCAGCCTGGCCGGATGAGTGGCTGCGCCCAGGACCCGAGGTCTGCGGGGGTGGAGGGAGGATAGGGATGCCAGAGGCCAGTGGGGCAGGGGCTGGGGCCGACGTGGAGGATGAACTGCTGGGTGTGTCCAACTCAGCCAGGTCGATGAGAGTGCCCTGGTTCCCAGAGTGGTTTCCTGGAGGGGTGGAAGGAAGGGGACACGAATGATCGGGGGCCACTCTAGTGGCTGCACAGCAGGAAGCAGAACCCTGACTAGAGCCTCCAGCCTAACTAATACTGAAGGAAAGCAAGCAAAGAAAACCCTATCCACAGCTCCTGGCCCCTGGGGAGCTGGAGGAGCACCTGGAAGGGCTTAGAATCCCCTTGGGCCACGTGGGATGACATGCAGGTCACGCACTCATGGCTGGCTGGTGGGGCCTGGGGCTGGTCTGGATGGGTCCAAAATGTGGAACTAGAACATTTTACCTTCCGCGTCTGGCATGGCTGAGTTGGCTATCTCACCATTGATAACCTGCCCTTCAACAACTGTTTTGTAAGAGTTGATGACCCGGGAGAGGTTGTCACTGGCCTGGAGGATGTCCCCTAGAGCAGAAAGAGGTACTTCTCACTCTTGGCCATGACACTCCCCCCACCCCCCTGGCCAAATCCAAATTCCTAGGTCATCCTTGTCAACTATTCTTTGACTCACCCAAACTATTGTCATTGTCCTCTGTCTCACTGGCTAGTTTGAATAACGTCCGCCTCTTATTCTCACACCGATCAAACAGCTCCTGAAAGAATCCCAGACCTTAAAGTGAGCTACAGGGTCCCCTGGCAATGACCTAATTCAGTGTCCATGTCCAGAAGTCAAGGGCTCCCCTACTGCCACAGTCAGTCACGGGTGGCACGGGGCTCTGAGGACACCTTTTCCTGCTGCCAGCTTCCACTGCACTGTGTCACCTAGGGTATCTGCTTAGAACCAGGGGAAATAGGTCCCTTCCTGTCCCTGAGGCCGGCATATGGCTCAGAATTCAGAGCACGGAGCCAAGGACTAAGGTGCGGCATCAGGCGCATGTGGTGGGTGTCTCTGCCCAAATGTTGCTGAGGCAGAAGGCGCAGCAGAGAGAAGTGAGCCCCAGGGGCGGGTCCGCAGAATCCCCCAGACTCGGGTGCACCCACCGCTCTTCTGTCCTGAGTAGGTTAGCCACAGCAGGTGTCAAGGCGGGGTACCACCCCCAAACCTGGTTGCTATGCTGATTAACAAGGAACAGCAGGGCGGGTACCGGGCACAGGCCGGCTCGCTTTCCCGGAGTGTGGCTCTCCTGGGATGCACCTACCTTCATGAGCTCTTTGTCGGCCTCCGAAGAGTCCTCTTTGCTGTAATGAAGCAGCATCTCACTGAGCAGCTTTACGTTGTTATTAACCTCCTCTAAAGTGTGCAGACGCTTGGTCACCTTCTGGATCCGCGCCTCATCCTACAGCAAAGATGATCAAGGAGAAAAAGCTTAACCAGACTCCTCCCACCGCCCCTGGCGTCCCACAGCAAGGATCGCACCAGAGAACGTGAGCAAAAGCTAGTCCCAGTGGAAGCTCCTTTTAATGCATGGTTCTTGGGAACCATAAGGCCTCAGTCTCAACCTAGTTTGTCTTTTAAAAGAACGGCCCGCTCCCAGCCCTCAACTGCCCCCGTCCATGCGTGCTCCTCTAACCCATTCTACCCCCCAAGCTCCAGGGTGCCTCCCGCTCTCTGGCCTCAAGCTGGGGGAAGGGACTCTTGCTCTGTGGTCATGGGTTCCTCCACCCCAAGGCCCTGGGCCACTTACTTCCTTCACCATGGACTTGATGAGCTTGTTGGCCTCTTGTAGGTCATCTGGGTTTTTGCTTTTCAACAACTTGGCTAAAAGCTGGAAGAGGAGGTACCAAAGGGAAAGGGAAAGGTAGCACCCCACCTGGAGAGACCACGGAGGAACCCCTCCCTCCCCATCCAAGGACGCTATTGGCTGGGGTGTGCTTTACCTTGGATTTCTCCTCATCATCAAAAACAGGATTCTTGGGACGAGGTGGTGGAGACGGGATCAGCGTCCTGTCCACAGGGATCAGTGGGTCAGACTGCACGATGCCTGACAGGAACACAAGGGGGGCAGAGTGCTGGCTCACACTGGGGTCATTCTGATGCCTTTTCTCACACAGTAAGGCAAGGCCCATCCCTGGGATGACGGCCTGCCAGGGCTTGGCCCATCAAACTGCAGCTGAGCCCTTCTTGTCCTCAGGAGGAAGAAAGGGACGGCAGACACCCCTCATTCTTCCTGGCCTTAGCCAGCCTTTGGGGATGCTTTAAGGCGGAGGGAAGGTAAGCACATACCCTGTCTCTTCAACATGTGGTAAGCATCCTTGATCTTGGTTTCTTCCGGCAGGGCCAACGTCCAGCTGTAAAGCAGCTCGATAACCTTGGTCTTCACTTTCTCAGACACCCGGTCCCCTAGGTACTAAGAGGCAAAAGGAAATGGGAAAACCTCGTAACTACCGTCCGGAGGCAGGAGCCGTGGGAATGAAAGGCTGCTAGTCCGCTCCAGTCTTCAGGCCTACCCCAAACCAGCAGGTGTTAGGTATGTGTGACACAGTGTGGGGACGGGAGGAAACCACCCGTGACAAAGCTGTCTCAGGGATACAGTCTGCTCAGGCAGGGAGCCGGGAGCCCGCCACTGCGTTTCCATGCACAATCTCCCAGAAACAACAGCATTTTATCTCAAAGGAATTAATGAGAATGTTTTAACTATGGAAAACTGCTCCCTGTGCTTTAAGTGGTGCCCAGAGCAAAAGCCACACCAGCGTGCCACAGAAGCTGAGAAGCTGAGCCTAACTCCGTAAGACCACCGTCCCCAGGAGCCCTAACTCCGTCCGTAAGACGGACCCAAGTGACCACCGCCCCCAGGAGCCCTCCCCACCCGCATGCACCCGCACCTGCTGCCACATCACTTCTCACCATCAGGCCCGGAGTCCATGAGAGGGCTGCCCGCCCCGTGGCCTCCTGGACCCTGTGCTGCCCTCAGGACCTAGTCCCTAAGGCCCGGACATGGGCAGCTCTCTAAAGACAGCTCTGTGGCGAGGGGGTTGCACCGTGAAGCCAGTAAGATGGGGGGCGGGGGGACGCCAAAGAGTTCCCGAATGAGGACGCTGCCCCGACTGACCTTTGGAGAGACGACTTTGATTAACTCATTCAAAAACCGGAACTTCCCCACTTCGTTATGAAACCTCCTCCCGCAGTTCTTCATGCACGCCTCCAGCACCTGCAGCCACAGGACGGGGCGCTGAGCGCGGGCGGCCCGCGGCGCAGCTGGCCCTCAGCCAGGCCCTGCGCCGAGGCGCGCTCCACCGTGTTCCCTTCCTTGGCTGCCGACTCTGTCGAGCTGGGTTTTCCAGCCACGCCACTGCTGACGTGCTGGGCCGGTCATTCTTTGCGTGGAAGCTTGTCGTGTGCATTAGATGTCTAGACACATCCTCTAGATGCTAGTAGCACCCCATGAGGTGACAACCCAGTGTCTCCAGGCACTGCCAAATGTCCCCTGGGGAACAAAAGCGCCCCCGGCTGAGAACCACAGCTGTAAGGCCTTCGCTCTACAGCGCAAACAGGCGCGCGTGTGCGCCGTCCAGAAGCTCAGGGTCCTTTCCTTCTCAGCGTCTTTTCCCACGCCCCGAATGAAGTCAGGGGAGACCCCGGGGGTCCTGTGAGCGCGGCTATGCTCTGAATCCTCTAAGACCTGCCGCTCGGTGTGATACCTTGAGCAGGAACAAGCATTACTGCAGCTATAGAAGTTACACTCGCCAGACTCTTCCTTAGTTGGCCAACTCTAACCAGCAAGACAGCTCTGTCAGCATCTCTGCAAGACGCCGCCGTTGAGCTCCACCCTGGCCTCTGGCCCCCGCCCTCAGTCACTCGGCCTCTCCCACTGGACCAGCAGCCCAGCCGGCAGCGACCGCACCCCGGGCCTCTCTGCAGCCTCGGTGCCTCACACAAGGGCACACACATCTGTGGCGCAGTTTATGGAACACGTTCCGGACATTAGTACCAAGAACCTTCAGCTGCCATAGGACGTGAGCCCTGAAAACCTCTGAGAGCCCAGTGGGTGCTCGAGGAAAGGCCTGGGCTCGTTAAAACCCACCGTCAGAGCGAAAGGACCTACCGTCAGCGCCTGGACCGCCTCCCATTCCTGCGGAGACTGGATCTTATGGGCCAGCAGTCGGACAGCGATCTGCGGCCTGCAAGGAAGCAGACCAGGCTCTCAGGCACTGAGCCCGGGGCTGCGCGGCCCGTCGGGATCCAGCAACACCCCCGCCTGCCCCCGACTCCCGGCCCACTCACCCTTCAAGCTCTTTGTTGATCTGATCACAGAAGCCGATTATGTATTCCCAGTCCTCCTGGCGGTTGGAAGGATTGGTCGCTTTGTCTTGGGACAGAGCAAAGTGGAGAACAATTGTTATTGTTATAAAGAGCAAGGAGGACATAATGGAGGGTATTTTAGGCACTGATATGCAGCTGAGTTTGTTTCCAGGGGCGCCTGGGTGGCTCAGTCGTTAAGCGTCTGCTTTCAGTTCAGGTCAGTACCCCAGCATACTGGGATCAAGCCCTGTGTTGGGCTCCCTACTCAGCAGGAAGCCTGCTTCTCCCTCTCCCACTGCCCCTGGTTGTGTTCCCTCCCTCCCGGTCTCTGTCAAATAAATAAAATCTTCCAAAAAAACGAAAATAAAAACAAACAAACAAAAATACCCCACAAACGTTTTCAAGACCTAACTTTTCTTAATGCTTTAAATGTTATTTATTTTCTTAGAAGGGTGGGGAGAGAAGGGGAAGAGGGGAGAGGGACTGAGAGAATCCCAAGGACGCTCCACGCCCAGTGTGGGAGCCCAATGCAGGCTCAACTGCAAAACCCAGAGACCATGACCTGAGCCATAAACAAGAGTAGGTCGCTTAACTGACTGAGCCACCAAGGCACCGTTCCATGTCTTTTTAAAACTGCATTTAAAAAAAATATATATTTATTTATTTGAGAGAGAGAGAGAATGAGAGCATGAGAAGGGAGAGATCAGAGGCAGAAGCAATCTTCCTGCCAAGCAGGGAGCCCGATGTGGGACTTGATCCCAGGACTCCAGAATCATGACCTGAGCCAAAGGCAGTTGCTTAACCAAATGAGCCACCCAGGTGCCCTAAACTGCACATTTTAAACTGAGCTAATATTTACCGTGCCTCTATCAAGCACCAACCATTGTGCTATCTATCCATGGGATTGCAGAAACAGAAACTGAACTTAAGTATTCAGCACCCTCAAGTCTGAATGGTCTCCTATGATTAAGGAAAAAGGCAAGTGTTGGAGAGTTCTCAGAGGATCGTGGAGGGTTTAAAAGCCAGGAGCTCAGTGTCAAGTCTCTTAGCATCTGGTGTGGGTCCTCCCTCCCCTGTACCTTCAGAACCTGTGCTAAGGAGCACACGCCCGCCCCCCATCACCGAGGGTGGGTAACCGTGTTCCCATCTCTGATTCACATCTTGGGAGTCTGCCTCTTCCAGAAAGCACCCTCAAGCTGTTTGCTAAATTTAGGGCTACAGGTTCAGAAGACAAATGGGAGGCTGAAGGCGTATATCCTTTTTAAATACCCACGCTCCTGCAGCTGTCCCGCAGCGCCAAAAGCAGAGCCACGGAACCCTGGAAAAGCCCCTCCACACAAATGGCATCGTCAGAAGTTCCTGAATTCTGATTTCTCGTGACTGTTTTCTTAACTTCCTTTTTCCTGACATCAAAAATCACTAGCTCCCTGACCAGATCCTAACAAGGGCTCCCAGCGTCCTCCCCTCCCCTCCCCCACCCCCATGGGGCTCTGAAGCACGACAAGGCAGCAGACGCCACCCTGCAGCAGAGGGAAGGCCTGCAGTGTTTCCGCTCCCACTTCGAGAAGATTCGGACTGTTTGGTTCCTATTTGGAGGAAAAGGAAAGTATCTGTCCTCAATCTTGAAAAGAGAATTAAGAGGCCCTTTAAAATGTCAAGCTAGGAGGGAAGCAAGGTTAATTCTATCAAGAGTGGCTCTTTGGGCGCCTGGGTGGCTCAGTGGCTTGAGCCTCTACCTTTGGCTCAGGTCACGATCTCAGGGTCCTAGGATCAAGTCCCGCATCGGGCTCTCTGCTCAGCAGGGAGACTGTTTCTTCCTCTCTCTCTGCCTGCTTGTGATCTCTGTCTGTCAAATAAATAAATCTTTTTTTTTTAAGACTTTATTCATTCATTTGACAGACAGAGGTCACAAGTAGGCAGAGAGGCAGGCAGAGAGAGAGGAGGAAGCAGGCTCTCCACCGAGTGAAGAGCCCGATGAGGGGCCCGACCCTAGGACCCTGGGATCATGACCTGACCTGAAGGCAGAGGCTTTAACTCACTGAGCCACCCAGGCGCCCCCAAATAAATAAATCTTGGGGAAAAAAAAAAAAAAAAGAGTGGCTCTTTATTGCCACAGTGACCTACAAGCTGTCACCTTCCAGAGGCCCCATGTTTCTCCCATTGGTTGACGGATACCTTCTCAGGTGTTGGCAAGGATTTGTTACTAATCCCTACCTTGCTTAAAGTTCTCATGTGACATCAAGAAGCTAAAGACTACAAAAATTAAGATGGTCTGAGAGGCCCCACCTTTCCCGTTGCTACTCTTACTATTTTGAGAAGAGTCACATACCCCAGGCTGTAAGAAAAAAATCACACACTCTCACCTGCACTGTTCTCAACCCAAAAGCAAGGTACAGAGGACAGCATGGATGTGGCTGCCCCCACACCCACCTGAGCAATGGGTGCTCACCCAACGCGCACCCCAGGCCTAAGTCTGGAATATGCCCACGTCTTTCCCACTTGTGCTCAACTTCTCTAGTGCCCCACTTCCTTTCACCTTGATAGACTTTCCTACTGCAACTCTGTGGGGAGCTCTCTGCCTACACGTGGGCACAAAGAGCCCTGGTTTCAGCAATGGCCAGTCCGAGTTCTGAGTATCTCCTCCAACTCTCCAGCTCACAAGCACCCTTAGGAAGGGGAGGAAAGTCCTAGGGATAATTCCGGGTAACTCGATCCCTCCGATTGCCCATTGCCTCCCTCCTGCAGATGCACACAACTTCCCACCCACTCAACATGCTCCATCACCTGGCAGAGAGGGGATACCATCGCCTCCCCTGTAAGCTCCACCTTTCTAGAACTGGCTCTAGGCTCTACTGACTCAAGGTTTCTATTTTCAGGTCTCTCCTAAAAGCCTTGTTTTCTTGTGTGTCCGTGCCTCTAGATTCCTGGCTCTCATTTTCAGCTTAGTTCCATCAGTAGCCTTGACTGTAGTAGGGCCTCAAAAGGTCAAGCAGGGTTGGTTCCAGGAGGGCCAGCAACAGCTACCTAATCCCAACGCAATTCAGACATTTCGCAGATGACAGAGTCTATGTATCACATGACTTAGAGAGGAGCGGAGGCAGCAACACAGGATGCAGAGGAAATCAAGAGGCAGCCTTTGGTGCTACGGTCTTGAATTAAGAGAGACTTCGTCACCAAGTCTTTGTTGAGCACCTACAGAAAATTAACTACACAGGTCAACTACCCTGTACAATACTATTCAATCAGTCAATAATGGAACTAAAAGAAAACGAGTACACAGCACACAAGGCCATGGTAGGCCATGGGACTACATAAAGAGTCCAAGACTCAGAGCCTACCTTTGGGGCACTTATGCTCTTCTGGGGCCACTTGTGTGACGTAAACAGAGCAAAAGCTTAAGAGTGTAATTATATAATTTGGATCAAAAAGAGTTTAAAAACAAACTCAATACTTCTCTTTCCTGACTTCCCCATTTCTATAAATGGTGCTATCATTCAAAAGCTCGCTCTGCCCCCATGCCCAGGCATCCGGATTTGAACCCCCCATTGCTGACTCCTTCCTTCTCACCCACTTCCAGAAGCCCAGGGTCCTTTCCTTCTCAACGTCTTTTTAAATCTCTCCCTTTCTTACCCCTGCCTTCATGCCTCCTTACTTCTTCACCTGCTTCCAGAACTTCTGCTCCTTGGCATCCTATACAAAACCCCTATATTGATCCTCCTAAAAACATGGATTTCACCAGGTACAGTAAGAATGAAGACCTGGTAATTGTCAAATTTAAACTTCTTGGGCTGGAATTCAAGCTTTTCCAGAATTTGGTTCTAACTTCCCAGCTTTCTCTCCCACCACACTCCTACAGGAGCTCCCTGAGTCATCAAGAGACCGTCTGTGGCAAGGAGAATCTGGGATGGGTCTTAAAGCATTTAGTTGAGCAAAGGGGAACAGGGCTTCTGGGGAACGAGAACAGAGTGTACTGGGGGGACAAGAACACCTGACTTACCACAGCAAGGAGACTCTCGGGAAGCCACAAAGAGGCGGCAGTAGGTGTGCAGCCATGGAAGACCGGATTATACAGAAGTGCTCTTCTGGGAGCAGAATGCAGAATGGACGGAGGGGAGGTAGGGAGACGCTTGAGGCACTGAGCCAGCTAAGGCTTCTATAATAATTCTGGCAAACCATGGAGTGACAAGGACCCAGACTAAGAGAGTGCTAAACCAAACACTGGTTCATTCAACCGATAAAGTTCACGCCAGTAAGTCATAAGAACTCTGAAGGTGAACAACGGGTAAGAATGGAATCTTAAAAAGAGAAAAGAATGGAAGGAATCTTACCACCACCCCTAATGTCAATTTAAGTAATAGGAAAAGGCCAGTCTCAGCTCCAGGGTCTACAGATCCCATCCCACTCTCTGACTCACCACTTCCACCCTCCCTCAAAACCAAGCCTGTCCTTCTCCTATTTCAAAATATAACTCTAAACCTAGCCTACTCAACTCAGCTTAGGTCAAATTACTCCAACGTCCCCCATTATTATCTATGAATCAAATCGATTCCAGCGTAGTTATATCTGGTTGGATGGCACTGGGCAAGTGGTTTGATTACAGTCAGGGTGTCCTCTTTTTGCGAAATTGTGACTGTAGTACCTACTGCCCGAGGATACCTGATGAATGAATTAAATGAATGTCTTTGGAGCACTCTGAGCCCCTTGAAGAACAGTTCCCTATACACGGAGGACTTTATGACCTGCCTGCAACTGCAGATTTTGCAAACATAACCTAGATTCAACCACCTGAAGGGGGTGGTTTCTTATTAAGAAAGGTCAGAAAAGAAAAAAAAGAAAAAAAAAAAGAAAGAAAGGAAGAAAGGTCAGGCCATTGGAGGAAAGAGCCATCGCCTGCAACAGCTCTGGACCTTGCACAAGGCCTTCTCCAGGCATCCTGTCTTAACACTCCGTCTAATTTGTCTTCACTTAAAGAGGCCTCCAGGGGCCTCTTCTAAGCCCATAAGAAAGTTAATTTATTAACCCTTCAGCAGAGTACTGTGTGCTAACAAGGTCAACACGTATTTCCTTAACAGCAGTATGAATTAGCAATTAAAGCTACAGGCCGCTGTGACTACGGCACTAGGCTGTGCTCCTCAGCTTTGCCCGGAACGTTACCTACAAATGACTAGCGAAGATGTTCAAGTGTGTGTGTCCCCAACACGGACATCACCAAACCTTGGACACTGCAGGAAAAGGGTAGAGCTGTTCTTTATCCCTTTTTGGATTCTTCTACTTCAAACATCCTGCCTGCGCGAGGCGGCCACTTGTCAAATACAAGGTCGCAATTCTGAAGCTGTATTTGCTCAGCGGCACCCACACCGCTCCCGGAGTTTCGGCCCAAATCCCGAGGCACTGGCGCCCCGGAGTCACGGCAGCGCGCGGCCCCACCACAATGTCCCCAAATCGTCGATGCCGTGTCAGCCGGAAGCACTTGGCCGCCGCTTCCCCGGAGCCCGCGGAGGCCCGGACCGGACCCGAGCTCACGCCGCCGCGCGCAGAAGTGGGAGGCGGCGCCGGGCGGGGGCCGGGACGCCCTGCTGGGGAAGGGGCGTGATCACGGAATGCTCGCGGCGAGGGCGAACCCAGGCGCGGGCTGCTAGGCGACGCCGCCGCGGGCCCCTGAGCGCGGAGGGGGGCGGAGTGGGGCGGAGTGGAGTGGGGCGGGGAGGGGGCTCGAGGGCGGACAGAAGCGGCCGCGGCTACTCACTCAGCCAGGACTCCAGGCTCTCCCCTTCCGCCTCCGCCATATTGCAGCCGCCCGGGCCGGCCCAGCGGCCTCAAACCTCGCGAGAACCTGTGAGAGACGAGCCGGGGCGGGGCCTGCATGGGGGCCTGAGAGGAGAGAGCCGGCCGGCGTAGGGTCGCGTCGGACTGCGGCGGATGATGAGACGCCGAATGTTGCTTTTTGGGCTCTTGCCTTTCGACCTCGGAGTGAGAGACTCTTAACGCCCGGATGAATGCAGTGACGCACAGATTTAGGATCCTGCGTAGCCTTTCCCCCGTCTCCTGTCACTCGCTCAGGCACGCAGAAGGCAGCCTTCGTGGGGTCCTCGTGGCCAGCCAAGATGGCTGCCCCCGCGGGGAAGGTTGCGCGAGGGTGGTCGGTCCTGGCGCTGGGCCTGCGGAGTGCTGTCCCGCGGCTTCCAGGGTGAGAGGGCAGTAGGAAGCTGGGGTGCCCCTTGGGACTTCACGGAGAGACCTGTAGGGAAGGAAAGGGCCACAGTCAGACCGGGCGGGAACCTGGAGAGAGCCTGCGGGCCAGGATACCTCGGCCCAAAGCTCTGAATTGGCTGCGTGACTTCGAGCCAGTGTGCAGGCGTAGTGATTCTGAGTCGAAGCTGAAAGCGCGCCCTTAACAAATCAGAGCTGAGATTTTCAGGGGGCGAGACGCGGAGATGCTTAGGCAGGGCGCCTCTCCTCGGGTTCAGGAACCTCTCCTTACCGTTGGCACTTGACGAGAGGGAGACTTTCCTGGCCTGTTGGGGGAGGTCCTCCCACCTCTTAGGACAAGAGCCAGAATTACTGCGTTCAGGTTTGTCCAGCGGTCTCCGTGCCTCTCACTCGTCCGCGGGTTGGCCAACATGCCCATTATTAAGTCAAGCCTTTTCACTTGTGGAGTCAGCTTTTGCCGGCTTCTTTCCCCCTCTCAGACTAACCCAGGTGAGGTGGAGCCGCTATAGTCCTGAATACAGGGATCCACAGACGGACAAGGAGTATTACCGCAAGCCCTTGGCGGAGCTGACTGAGGAGGAGAAGTGTGAACAGGAACTCAGGAAGACTCAGCTTATCAAAGCTGCCCCAGCAGCGAAAACAAGCTCTGTGTTTGAAGACCCCGTGATCAGGTTAGATAGAAGCAAATACTTTTGTTCCAGGGACTGGGACTGTACCAGGGAGGGTCTACAGTAAGGATTGGGATACAGCCTGGGAAATCGCTAAGCATTTTGTTTTTCTACTTGAAGTAAATTCATCAACATGATGATGAAAGGAGGAAACAAAGTACTGGCCAGATCCCTCATGACACAGGTAACTAGCACGTCTCTCCTGTCTGCTTGCTTATACCTTTGTCTGTGGCTCTTTCAGTTTAGTATAAAAAAGAACAGGTTCATATACTTGCCATTAGAATTACCTTCCCTGTTTGGGGTACCTGGGTGGTTAAGTGTCCAACTTTATTTTCTTTTTTAAAAATTTTATTTATTTATTTGACCGAGATCACAAGTAGGCAGAGAAGCAGGCAGAGAGGTGGGGGAAGCAGGCTCCCCACTGAGCAGAGACCCCGATGTGGGGCTCCATCCCAGGACCCTGAGATCATGACCTGAGCCAAAGGCAGAGACTTAACCTACTGAGCCACCCAGGCACCCCTAAGCGTCCAGGTCTTGATCTCAGCGGAGATCTTGGTTTCAGGGTCGTGAATTTGAGCATCATGTCAGGCCCCATGCTGGGCGTGGAGCCTACTTTAAAAAAAAAAAAAAGGAAAGAAACAGAAAAAAAATTACCTTCCCTGGGATACCTGGGTGGCTCAGTCAGTCAGGTATTTGCATTAGGCTCAGGTCATGATCCCAGGGTTCTGAGATGGAGCCCCACTCTGGGCTCCCTGTTCAGCAGGGAGTCTGGTTCTCCCTCTCCCTCTGTCCCTCCATTCATGCTCATGCTCATTCTCCCAAAATTTTTTTGGGGAAAAAATGATCCTCGTGTATATGTGTGGAAGTGGTAGCTATAATGAAGGCCGGTAGGCGTCAGAACCACCATTCACTCCCCCAGTCACCAATCTCTGTGGTCGTCCTCCAGGAAAGAGGAGGCCTTTAAGAACTTTGCCTTAGGGGCACCTGGGTGGCTCAGTCGTTAAGCATCTGTCTTCTACTCAGGTGGTCCTGGGATGGACCCCTGCACTGGGCTCCCTGCTCAGCGGGAGGCCTACTTCTCCCCCTTCCCACTCCCCCGATTGTATTCCCTCTCTCACCTGTCTCTCTGTCAAATAAATAAAATCTTAAAAAAAAAGAAAAAAAGATGGGGCACCTGGGTGGCTCAGTGGGTTAAATCCTCCTCTGCCTTTGGCTCAGGTCATGATCTCAGGGTCCTGGGATCGAGCCCCGCATCGGGCTCTCTGCTCAGCAGGAAGCCTGCCTCTCTGCGCCTACGTGTGATCTCTGTCAAATAAATAAGTAAAATCTTAAAAAAAAAAAAAAAAAAAAAAGAACTTTGCCTTAGAAGTGCTGAGAGAGGGTCCGCACTGTCATAGAGAAACAGGGTGACAGGAGTAAAGGGCAAAGTACTAGTTCAGCTGGATAAACCCTCCAGGGGCCCGGGGCAGCATCTTCCAGTTCTATCCCTTTGCAGACTCTGGAAGCTGTGAAAAGGAAGCAGTTTGAGAAGTACCATGCTGCTTCTGCTGAGGAACAGGCAACCATCGAACGCAACCCCTACACCATCTTCCACCAAGCTCTGAAAAACTGTGAGCCTGTGATAGGGCTGGTGCCCATCCTCAGGGGGGGCCATTTCTACCAGGTGAGCGGTTGGGGCCGGAAAGCAGGGCTCCCTACCCACAGAACAAGCTGGTAGTGGTTGGGTGGGGAGCACTTGGGAGTGGGAAGGTCCAGAGTTGGGCTAAGATTGGTCGTTTTATAGGGACCAGGTTCTGTCAGGATCCGCCAGCACGCCCCCCATGCCCGCACCCCTGCTTCTGTTCCGTCCACGATGCTGTGTTGTAAGCTGTCAGCTTCTCGTGGTGAAGGATGTGTAGAACTCATCTTTGTATACCAGCATCTAGAGTAGCACTTGACCCGTAACTGGTGTTTTGTTGCCATTTCTTGAACTGAACAAGGCTCTCTCCTGGCATTTAATTTTGTGTCACTGTCATAAGCCAGTGTTCTCGGCTTCTGCTTTTTTAATGTAAACTTCATAAGGGTGGAGACTCATTAATGTCTGGGTCCCTAGCGGTGCCTGGCATATAATGGCGGTCTAACAAATGATTCTGGACAAGAGGGGCTTGGTTTTGGGCACCCCTGATCTGCGCTGGCTGTGTCACCCCGGCTTGATGGGGTTTCTCCCAGCTGATGCTCGTAGCAGCTGGGCTGAGCTTCCATTTAGAGGTGAGAGAGGTCAGTGCCTCATGAGCGTGTGCTCAGTGAATGCCTCTGCTAATGGGTGAGGGCCCCCAGGGCTGCGGGGGACTCAAGGAGAAGCCAGGCCCCTCAGGAGTGTCGTCAGAGCTGGCCCAGAGGGATCCTGTGGCTCTTCCTTAGAGCTCAGGGCAGAAGGAGGCTGCCGCCCCGACACGGTCTTGGACTGACTTGCCGTGTCTTCTCCTGTCCAGGTCCCTGTGCCACTTCCCGCCCGGCGTCGTCGCTTCTTGGCCATGAAGTGGATGATCACTGAGTGCAGGGAGAAGAAGCACCGGCGGACGCTGATGCCGGAGAAGTTGTCACATGAACTGCTGGAGGCTTTTCACAACCAGGGCCCTGTGATCAAGAAGAAGCATGACATGCACAAGATGGCCGAGGCCAACCGTGCCCTGGCTCACTACCGCTGGTGGTAGGGGGAGGGGGCGGCGCTCTGCTGCAAGAAACAGTGGGAGCCACTGTCACTGTCAGCGAAAACCCCTTGTGGGTGAAGTAGTTCCTTTTTAAGGGCGTGCAGGCCTTGTAAGGGGGGAGCAACGTATTTATGCCCATTAGTCCTTTCTTTGGGCGCTAGAACTTGCTTTTCTGTCCCAGCTCCTCATAAACCAGGAACCTATCAATTTGGATTTCCCCCAGGAACTTTTTGCCCATCCAGCTTCTCTTCCTCTATTCAGGGTAGAACTTTGGAAGTTATGAAAGGAAGCAGTTTTAATGTTAGAAAAGGTTTATTAGAAAATTCTCGCCCTGAACTGGTGTTGCATGTGTGGTGGTACCTGCCGTTTACTAAAATCGACTGGAAATTTGTTTCCAAAGTGGTCCTTGTACAAAATGTATAAAAAGCAGTTTTCTGGTGTGACTTGTGCTCTGCTCCTCAGTATCCCAAAGTATACCACCAGTAGCTATGGGTACCCCTTTTACAGATGGGGAAACTGAGGCACCAAGATGGCTGTTGCACCAGTGGTTACACAGTGCGGTGGGTGTCGGAAGCTGCCTTTCTCTGCCTGGCCCAGGCTGGAGGTGATGGGGGGAGAGGCTGATGGGACATTAGGGGCAGGTCTGTTTGGGGTCTTCCCTGGTCCCTGAACCCGGGAGGGAATGTGCTCAGGCAGGACCGCCGCGTGAGTGGGAAACCCCTATGAGCTGTTCAAGGTCTGGCAGGCACAGGCCGGTGCTGCTGGTGAGGCAGCCTGAGCCGGAAACCTAGTCGGAGACCTCGCTGTAGTAATACTTGTGCGCAGCCGGGGTCGTCTTCCAGCCGGCTGCCCGAAATTCGATGATCTCCAGCAGCAGCAGCTGGGCCAGGGAGCTGAGGCCGCTTGGGAGCAGGAAGCCGTCTCGGATCAGGACAAAGAGCTCATCCATGCGCTGGCGGTTCATCTTCTCCAGCTGCTCCCCCACGCGGTGCAGCTGCAGCACCAGGCAGTCCACCTGCAGGGGGCGTGGGAGGTGACCCCGGGGCGCACGCGCCGCCTTTCCGGAGCTGCACGGCTGCAGCTGTGCCTGCCGCCTCCCGTCCTGCTCCCGGCACCTGGTGGGCGTTGGCCACATCTTACGTGAAAGGAGACCAGTTCGGAACTTGCCTAAGGTCTCTCGGGCCAGGCTGGATGCGGGGTTTGCCTCCAAGCTGCCGCTTAACCCAGACCTCCCCCCTCCCCTACCCCACCCGGCTCTGCGTTTCTGGGCCTTCTGTATCCACAGCTGGATTCCTACCACAGGTTGGCTTTACTATTGGGAAGAAAGCCTCTGAGCCTGTAGGTTTTGGCTGCTCTGTTCTGGATAAATTCCAAGCCTGGCAGCTTGTTCTGGAACTGAGACAGGCCTTGAAGAGCCCCACCAGGCTCCCGCCCTGGGAAGTGACGCTTGGACGCCTCCAGGGACAGTGGGCCGGTATTCTGAGCTGAGCCAGGGACGGCCCACCTCCACAGCTGTCTGAACCTGGGTCACCCACCTCCTCCTCCTTGCTCAGACTGTCAGGCTGGGCCAGCCGGAAGAGGCAGTCATAGACGGGGTTCACCAGCGCCATCATGGGCATGTTGTTCACCTGTCCGGGGAGACCGGGGAGGGGCCAGAGCACTTAGCGGCTGAAGGAGACCAGCTCGGCTGTCTAGGCCTCCCAGGGTGGTTACTGGGGCCTCACCCTCAGGTAGTCAAAGACGTTGCAGATAAAGGTGACGTAGCAGACCCAGCCCTGCAGAGACCGGGCTCGCAGCTGCTCCCGAGCCTGGTACTCCTGCTGCAACCGGTTGAGGAGTCCCCGTCGGAAGACACTCTGGCCTGCTTGCTTGCTCTCAGCCTGTGAGCCAGGGAAAGGGCAGTGAGCTGGGGGGGGGGGGTGTGATGCCGTGGCGACCCCCACTCAAGCTTCAGCAGCTGAGGGCTGTCGGATCTGACTCTCCACCTCTGCCCTGCTGGCCAGGCCTCCTGCCCTCCGCTGCGGCCTTTCCCAAAGCGTCTCCCTGCTTCTCTACCAGTCCCAGCCCACCTGAATGATGGCATAGCACATGCGTCCTGCTTCTTTGCTGAACACACAGTCGTGCAGAGAATGGTCCACAATCACATTGGCCACCTTTTCCAAGTCCACGGCACCTGGATCTAGGGTAGAGATAGGTGGGGAGTCTAGAGCTGCTGAATTACCACATCCGCCTCCCCTTGCTTCTAAGAAGGATCTGAGATGTGTTTACAAAAGGGCACTCCCGTGATACACTCACATTTAAAGAGACCAGACTTCCCAGCTCCACTGGGAGACTGATGGCCAGGATACATGGCTGTTAGAGACTAATCAGCAAACGCTAGTTTTTAGGGCACGTATTTCCTGGCCCTGGGTTGCGGAAGGAGCACTAAATAACAATGTATTTGACAGCAATTTCAGGGAAGAAAGTGTTCTTAGAACACACAGGAACCCCTGACAAGGGCAGGCTAGGCAGGGGCCCCCCCAACAGGCTTAGCTTGGCATGTGATGGGCTTTACTAATTGTTAGCTGAGTCAAACTTCTGTTCTGAGGGCTGCAGAAGGCACCGATCCAGGACGATGACTGCATCTCCTCTGCCAAGCAGAGTGCTTCATCCTGTCCCAAGTCAGCCAGCTCTGCACATTCAAGACGGCCTGCTGGGTGACGCAGAAGCCAGGTCCAACGCAAGGGCTCAGGAGATGAGAACTCTGCTTTCTGTGGGGGACTTAAACTTTAAAAATGGCTTTACTGGCCGAAAGGTGACTCTATGATTCATACTTTCAATTACTGGCCTGAATGTAGCTTGTCCTCCAGCTTGTCCTGACTTCTATTCTCAGAAAGCAAAGGGACAGGGTTGGTTGGGCATTCACCAGGCTAAGGCTCAGGCCTCCAGGCCTGTCCCCTTGGCCCCTTCTCCGCAGCTCAGGGCTCTCACGCTCACCTTTGAGTGCGGTCTTCAGCAGGTGCTGAGTCTCTGCATCAAAAGACTGGATTTTATACTCCTCTCTACCAGGATCCCCCATGACCGTTCAGCCCCAGCAGCTCTTTATTGAGGTGGGACTAACGACAGCACCTGGGGAGGAGGAGAGGGAAAGGGAGAGGCCTCAGGTGTGCAGCGTGGGGTCAGGGTTTCTAGTTCTGCAGGCCCCGGGGCAGGGCTGGCCAGTGCTTGGGACAGGTGCTCCCAGCCAGTCTACTGCCTTCGTTAGTTGGCTGAGGGCCCAGCAAGCTTGGCCTCTCGTGGAGACTGGACACCAGCCAGGCACCTGCTGCTAAGTTTAGGAACCCCTGTAGCTTCTGGGATTACACGAGCCTAGAGCGGTGAAGGTGAAAGTGCCAACCGTCCAGTCTCCACAGGAGGCAGGGATATTCTCCGGTGATACTAAGGTTGGGGTGCGATGAGCTGCGCTGGAGTGTGGACAGGGGCATATCAGACACTCCCCTTGCCTATGGAAAGCAGCCTGGAAACTGCGGCCCCACCTTCCAGGGGACATGTCTGTCCCAGCAAGGTTCCAATCCCCTGGCCGCGACCCTTCCTTCTGCTTTGGTCAGAGTCCTTCTCAGTCCCCAAACCCGCCCCTCCAGCCTTCGGCCTGGCCAGTGTGGGCGGGTGCGGGGCCCCGAACTGCTCCTGTCCTGGCCAACTTCTCCCCGAGACGGACTGGTTAAACTGGCCTCCCGGGCGGCGGAAACCCTGCCTTGCCCACTCAGGACTCCTAATTCCTGAGCTCTATTCCTTCCTCTTAAAGAAGAGGGTAGCGGGATGACGGGAGAGACTGTCCCTGTTGGAGTCCCCTCTCCGGGCGCGACGCCTCCTCCCTGGTCGAAGGACGACCTCGGGGATCTCCAGAACCCGGCGGCTTCCCCGAGTTTGCAACGCCCTTCCGGGCGGGGCAGGACCGCCGTCCGGGGTCCCGCGGGCGGGAGAGGCGGAGCCGTGCGAAAGGAGCTCCGGGACCCACCTGCCGGGCCGGCACCGCGCCCGCGTGCCCGGAGGACGCTCGGCGGGCATGGCGCGCGCGCCACCCGTCCGCCGCGCCGCAGAGCTGGAACGACCCGCCGGGCCTCGCCGCCGCTTAGGTCATTTCCGAGCGCGGCGCCGGGGCGGGGCCAACGTGGAGGGGCGGGTCCTTTCCGCCAGCGCCACCTGCCGGAGTCCCGGTGACGTTCTCTTCGCCGCGCGTGTTCCGGAGGTCCGTGGCGGGGCCGAGGGGAAGGCCCTCGACGTCGCCCCCACCCTGTCCTTACTCGACTCGTCCGCGCCAGGCTAGACCTTCCTCGGCCCAGAGGAAGCCCTCAGTCGCCAGCGGTGGCGCCCCCTCCCCCCAGCCCACTCTCACGCCCGGGGCTCCGGTTAAAACGGGATCCAAAAAGGAAACTAGGCGGGGCCGCGCGGCAGTTGGGGGGCCTGCGACAGGGCAAGGATGGCTGGAGGGGCAGGAACTCATAGGCGGCGGCCACCTGCCCTCCACTTCTACCCCCCACGCTAGACAAGGCGGGGGGCTGTAAGGGCTGGATCAACCCCCCTACACACCCCCTCTCCTACTCCAAATACAAACGGTACTGGTAAAATAGTTGAAAATTAACGAGCCAGCTCTAGAATAAGGACACCCTCCCCACGACCCCCGTTAGCTTGCCGCCTCCGCCCTGACTCGGTCGTGGCTGTGGCTGGGGAAGAGGCGCGGGCCGGGCAGCTGAGGGCCATCCCCGACGCCGGCCCAGCGCTGCAGAAGGGCAGCCAGAAGGGGCTCGAAGCCTCTTCCCGTCGCGCAGACAAGCGGGCACGGTGGTTTCCTGTTAAAAGGGCTAGCCGAAGCGGTCACCAGGAAATGGATGAGAAAGGGCAGCTGCAGCCAATTAATGAGTAGGAGAGATGAAGAGAATAAAGTTTACTTTATTCCACTACAGTGTAATTTCTTAAAAAAATACATTCAGGCAGCTGCTTTCCTACAGCCTCAAGCCCAGGCCTCCAGGGCCCTAGACCCTGTGGGTGTTGGAGCTCCCCCTACCCCCAGCCTGGGACTCCATCAGCAGCAGCCGGAAGCAGGGAAGCTTCACGATTCAGGGTCTCAGACGTGTCACAAAGCTCCAGGCCAGAGCCAGTTCTGATGACAGAAGGGGTCCAAGGGCTAGGACACCCACACAGGTCTGCTTCTGCCCCTGCTTTCCTCCTAAGTCCACGCAGAGGCTGGCACAGAGGCTGGAGCTGGAGCCCAGACTGAGGGCAGGGTGAAGTCCTGCGGTGCCTGGGGCTTCCCCGTCCTGACTCCCCCCTGCAGAGGGACCCCGCAGGCCAGGCTCCCTGGGGTGGGGGGTGCAGAACTGGGTGGAAAGGATGGTGGTTGTGTTCTGTAGATTTCCTGGGCTCACCCCCTAACTGCAGTTTCTCCTCTGTGCCTACATCAGTAGCTGTGTGACAACCCCCCACCCCCAGACACCGCGCCCTCAGCAGGCGGGCTGCTCAGGCCTTTCCTTCTACCACCCCCTTCATGAGGCTGCTCCAGAGCTGTGGCCCTTCTGGGAGGACAGAGGACACACAGAGCACCACAGTGAGCCCAGGAGGGAGACACTGAGCAGGTAGCTGCTGCCAGCTGGCCCAGCTGTAAGGCTCCCGCCCTGACCCCATGGAAGTGACCCCAGGTAGGCTGGGGGAAAAGGCCACGGCCTTCGCCCACAGCTCCTCCCCATCAGCACAGCCCCCCCTTCTTGTGGGCCACTGAGATCGGTCTTCCCCAGAGACCCTCAGCCATGCTCCGTCCCACCCAGCGGGACGTCAGGAGGACCGGGGCCTGGGGGGTGTGGCTATAAAGTGACTAATTCTCCCCAGAACCAGAAGCAAAGCTGTATGAGGGATGCAAGTACTGAGAAAAATAGATTCTGAGGAAGGCCAGGGTTCCTCCCCTCATGCTTTGTGAGCAGGGATGTGATATGGAAAGGAAGATGGAGTGAAATAAGGAATTTGCTTTCAGCTTCAATGTGTATTACATCAACTGGTGGGAGGAGGAGCGCGAGCGAGAGGACCAGGCCCCCACAAAGGGCCCAATCCCAGCCCTCAGGCTCTAGCCATGGCCTCCCACCCCCAGAGCGTGGAGAGGTCTCTGGGCAGAAGGTGCTGGAAGTGCAGGGTGGCCACTGCTGCCTTTCCTGCAGGCTGGACCACAGAAGGAAAACCACCTTCTGACCGCTTGGCTGCATCCCCACAGGCCAAGCCCTGCCTTCTCCCCGTGAAAGCGCTTGCCCTTCGAGTGACGGCCGAGCTGGCTGGCAGGCAGGCGCGGGCAGCAGCTCTCAGTGCAACAAGAGATGGTAGAGGCGTCCGCCTTCCTTCGGGGGGCCGCCCTTCCTCCCCTCGGGGCTAGCTGTCCACCTTCTTCATGTGGTGGAAGAGGTTACAGAAGAGCTCATACCAGAAGAACACGAAGCCGGTGGAGAGAGCAGCCTTCAGCAGGCTGGGGGACAGGCCCTTGAAGAGGCCCATAGGGCCTTCCTCTCGTAGCACCTGCTGGGCACAATCCAGGAGGCCCCTATAGCTGCGAACCTGGGCAGAAGAGGAGGACAGAGGAAGCAATTAACACACGGATGTTGACTCTGTCCTTCTGTCAGTCCAGCACCTGGCACCTCACAGCTCCTAGTCAACACTTGCTGGACAAAGCAATGAAGACAAAAAGGACAGAGCAGTTAACCTTTGCTTTCTCTTCTAAGCAGACCGGTAATTCGGACTTAACAGAGGCAGCGCCTGGAAATCAGCACTGGACAGAACTCTTAAGGACCCTTTCCCCCATCCCACCAGGCCCCCTTGGGCAGTGGATATGAACCTGGCCCTCGTGAGCTCTGGCTTCCGGTCTGGCCTTCTCAGTTGGCCACACACCGCGGCCAGACTCACGTCCCCAGGACTCAACTCCCCTCAAGCACCTCTCTCGCCACATTTCCACTAACTCCCCATTGTGATGACAATGACATTGTAAAGAATCAAGGGGCACCTGGCTGGCTCAGTTGGTAGAATGTGGGACTCTTGATCTTGGGTCATGAGTTCAAGCCCCACACTGGGCATAGAGCTTACTTAAAAAAAAAAAAAAAAAAAAAAAAAGAGGGAAGAAAAAAGAATCAAATTCAAGCTCCACAGCCTGGTGTTCAAGGGGTTGCTCCATTTGGCCTCAACTTCCCTCCCTGATCTTCCGTCATCCCCCAGAGGTCCTCCCACCAAACAGGCTACAAAGTCTGTGAGGAGCACGGCTCTCTCCTCTGTCCTGGGCTCCCACCAACTGTCCCTGCGCAAACCTAAACCATTCCTTCCAGACAAGTTCCTAAGTGGACAAAGGAGATTATAAAACCTTGTATTGCACCTGGTGTTAAAACGTACATGTGTGTGTTTATGCAAAGAAACGAAACAACAGCCAGAGCTTCCGTGTCATTATCTCTGGGTGGGTGGTACTGGGAGCTCCATTATCGGTTTTTATCTTTCTGTCTCGGGTTCGACACAGATGTATTGCAACTAACTCAATACTTCCCCTTCCCCCAAGGAAGGAGTGCTCCCTCCCTCCTGACTCCCATTCCAGTGCACTCCTCTTTTCTGACCTCTGTTAGGCGTGTTCCCTCCTGCATGGGAGGGAACATGCCTGTTTCTCCCCCTTGCCTCACCCCCAGCCCACCACTGCATGGTGCCCCAAAGTGGCCGTGAAAATCCGGTTGAGACTAAGGAATGACTATTAAGAGTACAACATCACCCACGATGGGGGCTTCTGCAAATGACAAAGCCTTCTAGTGCCTTTAAAATATAATTTAGTGGATCAGGTTCCATTCGCCCCTCTCCAGGAACCCCTACGGCATACACGAAACGACCCCATGCACCGGTGGGAGTCTCCTCCGTGTTCTTTAGTATTCTGGGGACCTAGCTCATCGTAAGGTTTTACTCATTTGAGAGAGAGAGAGAGAGAGAACGCGCTTGAGCTCAAGGGCAGGGGAGGAGCAGAGGGAGAGGGACAGGCAGACTCCTCCAAGCACACAGCCCAACGTGGGGTTTGACCCACGACCCCGGTATCACAGGCTGAGCGGAAACCAGGAGTCAGACGCTCCAGCAACTGTGCCAACCAGGCGCCCCGCGGACCCTTCTCATGTGATGATATTCTTTGACCCAAACTGAACTGAACACTTTATTTTTTCTCTTTTTCACTTGAAGTGGGCTCCCACTGGGCGTTCAACACACGCCTGAACTCACGACCCCAAGATCAAGACCAGAGCTGAGCTCAAGAGTCAGACACTTGACCTACGGAGCCCCCAGGCGCCCTGAACTGAACACTTTTTAAGAGCGAACCCTGACCCCCCCTCTCGTGGATCACCCCACGGCGCCCCACATGCACAGGGCCGTGCGTGGATTCTCCCGTGTGTTTGGGGATCCCCAGGGACAGGCTGCAGGGGCCAATGCGAGCAGTGGGCAGGTGAGGGGCGAGGCGCAGAGCCCCCTGCAGGGGGGCGGCTCACCTGGCCGAAGGTGGCTCGCGCCTGCTCAAAGCCTCCGACCTGCAGCCGTTTCTTGAAGAGGTCCAGGGGGTACGTGAGGGTCTTGCTGAGGACGCCAGCTCCGCTGCCACACAGCAGGTTTTTGAGGTTCTCTGAGCCAAAGTGGGGTGGAGGGGGGAACATGACGGAAGTGTAATCGGGGAAAGACACGTTCAAGGTCAAGAGCTCTAAGCCTCCACCACGAAACTAAGAGCCACCAGCCTCCTGAGTCTGTGAGGAGAACCACCCCTGGCCACGCTGGGCCCGGATGGCAGTAAGGCGGGAACGGAAGTGGGAGCCTGCAGGCTGTGCGGTGTGACTCGGTTCAAGGCTTGGGAGGAAATAAATGTCCTCGGTACCGCTGCTGGGGGGGCACGAGCTGAAAGGGTCTGCCAGCGGCTGGTTCGGTTGGTTTGGTCAACAGCGCGACAGAGCAGGGTTCAGAGGACGGGAACATCCTAGCCTCTGCCAGGAAAGCCTTAGCCCCTCCAGGGATCAGAAGGAGGTGCTCTGGCTTGGGGGAGGGGGACACCCGGATTCTCTTGCGTGAGGGCTGTCTCACCATTCTTCCTTCCCTCGGTGGGCAAGACCCACTCGTGCACGTGCTTCAAGGCGCTGTAAAAGGAGAACTGGAACCCGGCGTAGGGGAAGATGGCAATCAAGGTGGGGTTCAAGCCTTTGTAGAAAACCAAGGGGCCCTCGGTCCGGTACATGGTCACCACGGCGTCTCGCAGGGTCTTATACACCTGGACGGCACACAGGCAGCTCGAGTGAGGGCACACGGGCGATCTGGCCCTAGAACACAGCCCGTCACGTGCACCTCCCCTCGGCTAAAATCCCAGCCGCCGGGAGCATGACTTTTCTGGGGGCACAAAGAAAATCTGAACAAAAGTCCCAAGGTAAGGGCTTCCAGCAACCCCCCTTCTAGCTATTTACAAGGCCAGCACGTTCGCACCGGTGCGCAACAGCGCGAGTCCGAGCACCGCTGCCACCGCATCCCGCAGAACAGCAGGGACACAAGGTCTGCCCCTGAGTGACTGGTCACAAGCACGCCGACACACCCATTCCGAAGGACACAGAGCAGCCACTGAAACAGGATCACGCCGTCTACACAACAGATGGGCATAATCCCCCAAACGTATAGCTGAACGGGCACAGCGAGAGGCTGAAGGGCGGGCTTAGTGCTCGTGGAAGAAAAAAGTAGGCAGGGATCACCCCCAGGGATACATGAGAAGTGGGGAAGGGCGAGCATGACCTCCACAGAGGGAGAGGCGGGGCAGGGAAGAGGGAGATCAACTCTCACCATTTTACGCTACAGGGATTTTCTGCCGTGTGCGTGTATTTAACCTTTTGTAACCTGTCAACAGGCAATCTCCATGCGGGAGACCACAGGGCACTGATTTTTCTCAGCACCTTCCATCCCGCACTTTGTTTGCAGGGGACCAGAGGGGCTCTGGGCGCGGCGATGAGGGCGGTTCTCTGCACCGAGAAGGGAGGACCCTGGCTGCTTCCTCACCTCCTGGCTCCCAGACACTGGCAGCCACACTGAAGGATTTCACTCCGGAGACCTCCAAGAAAGGGCCCGGACTCAGAGGAAGGCCACGGGGCAACGAGCCCGCCCTGTACCCACAGCCCCACTCTGCTTCTCTGTGCCCCCTTTAATACCAGGCTGGCAGCCAAGAGTCACCAGATATCTGAGGAAAGGCTTCATAAAAAAAGGAGACCGGGGCGCCTGCCTGGCTTGGCTGGTAGAGCACACCACTCCTGATCTCAGGGTCATCAGTTTGAGCTCCGCGGTGGTTACAAAAGACCAAAAACCAAAAAATCCCCAGAGACCAAAATGATCACAGGGGGAGAGAGGGGCACAGGGATCGTGTGGAAGGAAGAGACAGTGTAGACAGAAGAAGGAAACTAAAGGAAACAGAGGCCAACCACAAAATTGGAATTAATATTCTCAGGCCACAAAGAAGGCATCACCTCCGTGATAAAAGGAAAGGGTCTATTTAAAAATAAGGTAAGAGGGCACCTGTGTGGCTCAGTCGGTTGGGCGACTGCCTTTAGCTCAGGTCATGGTCCCGGAGTTCCTGGAAAGAGTCTTGAATAGGGTTTCTAGCTCCATGGGGAGTCTGTTTCTCTCTCTGACCTTCTCCCCTCTCATGCTCTCCCTCACTCTCTCTCTCTCAAAGAAATAAAATCTTTAAAAATAAATAAATTTAAAAAAATTAAAAAGAGGTAAGATTCAGAGAACAAGAGAAACTCCTGAGGGAAAAAAATCTTTGTGAGTTTGAATTAGGCAGATTTCTTTTTTTTCTTTTTAAGATTTTATTTATTTATTTGAAAGACAGAGAGAGTGAGAAAGAGTGGGAGGGAGAGGGAGAGAGAATCTGAAGCTGACCCACGCTGAGCACAGAGCCCCATGTGGGGTTCAATCCCATGACTGCGAGATCATGACCTGACGTGACACCAACAGTTGCACACTTAACCCACTGAGCCACCCAGGAACAGAGATTTCTTAGATAAAAAACCCGAAAACAAAATGCATAAAAGGACAAATTGATAGGTTAAGACTTTATTGGGGCTCCTGGCTGGCTCAGTCAGTTAAATGTCTGCCTTCAGCTCAGGTCATGATCCCAGGGTCCTGGGACCGAGCCCTGCATCGGGCTCCCTGCTCAGTGCAGAGTCTGCTTCTCCCTCCCCCTCTGCCTGCGGTTCCCCCTGCTTGTGCGCACGCTCTCTGACAAAGAAATAAATAAAATCTTTTAAAAATTAAAAACATCTGCTCTTCAAAAAACAGGCTATAAGGACGTGAAGGCAGCCACAGCCAGGGACACAGAAAAAAATATGTAAAACAACAAACCACCAAAATGGGAAAACAATTTGAACAGATTGTTTTGGCCAAGAAGGTGCTCAGAGGGCAAATAAACACATAAAAAGACATTCAACATCTCCGTGGTAAAACCACAATGAGATACCACTATTCACATCTAGCAGAGTGGCTAAGATTTAAAAGAATAAAAATAGGAGTGCCTGGCTGGCTGAGTCGGTTAAGCACCCAACTCTTGGTTTTGGCTCAGGTCATGACTTTAGGGTCGTGAGAGTGAGCCCCGAGTCAGGCTCCTTGCTAGCGGAGAGTTTGCTCGCGACTCCTTCCCTCTGCCCCTCACCCTGCTCACAGGCATACTGGTTGTCTGCCTCAAGTAAATAAGTAAATCTTTAAAAAAGAATAAAATTCTGGATGGAACTAGAGGTATCATGCTAAGTGAAATAAGTCCATCAGAGAAAGAAAATTATCATATGATCTCATTGATAGGTGAAACTTAAGAAACAAGGCAGAGGATCATAGGGGAAGAGAGGAAAAAAAAATGAAACAAGACGAAACCAGAGAGGGAGACAAACCATAAGAGACTCAATCCTAGGAAACAAACTGAGGGCTGCTGGAGGGAAGGGGGGTGGAGGGATGGGGTAACTGGGTGACAGGACATTGGGAGGGTATGTTGTAATGAGCACTGGGTATTATATAAGACTGATGAAACACAGACCTGTACCCCTAAGACAAATAATACACTACATGTTATTTAATTGAATTTAAACTTTAAAAAATAGGGGCGCCTGGGTGGCTCAGTGGGTTAAAGCCTCTGCCTTCGGCTCGGGTCATGATCCCAGGGTCCTGGGATCGAGCCCCGCATCAGGCTCTCTGCTCAATGGGAAGCCGGCTTCCTCCTCTCTCTCTGTCTACTTGTAATCTCTGTCTGTCAAATAAATAAATACAATCTAAAAAAAAAAAAAAAAAAAATTTCTTAAAAAAAAAAAAAACTTTAAAAAATAAAATTTTAAAAATTTTAAAAAGAATAAAATAAAAATAAAAACAAAAACCAGGTAACAGTAAGCACTGGTGAGGATTAGGAACAGCTGGAACTGTTGGTGGGAATGCGAAATGGCACAGCCAGTAGGAAGCAGGCTGACTTTTCCTCATAAAATCAAACATTTTCACCATATAACTCAGCAACCCCACACCCGGGTTTTCACCCAAGAGAAACAAAACGTTCACAAAATAATCTGTTATGGGTTTTTGCTTGTTTGTTTTGTTTTAAAGATTTTATTTATTCATTTGAAAGGGAGAGGGACAGAGCATACGCATGGGGAGAGGCAGAGACAGAGGGACAAGCAGACTCCCCACTGAGCTGGGAGCCTGACGTGAGGCTCGATCCCAGGACCTGGAGATCAGGACCTGAGCCGAAGACAAATGTTTAACCCTTTGAGCCACCCAGGTGCCGTGTGTGTGTGTGTGTGTGTGTGTGTGTGTGTGTGTGTTTAAGATTTCATTTATTTATCTGACAGAGAGAGAGAGACAGCGAGAGAGGGAACACAAGCAGGGGAGTGGGAGAAGGAGAAGCAGGCTTCCTGCTGAGCAGGGAGCCCGATGTGAGGCTCCTGGGATCACGACCTGAGCCAAAGGCAGACGTCTAACGATGAAGCCACCTGGGCGCCCCTTACACAATAATCTGTATGTGAATGTTCATGGTGGTTTTACTCAGAATCACCAAAAAACTGGAGAATATGCCTGACATCTTCCCACTAACAAACCATGGTAGGGCCTCGTGACAGAATACTATGCAGCAAGGAACAGGAACGGACCACTCACACACGTGGCACGCATGAATCTCAAGGCCAGATGCCAAGTGAAGGGCAAGGGCGCCTACTCAAACAACTACGTGAGAGTAATTCCCTGTGTGACATTCTGAAAAAGGCGAAACTTTAGACAGAAGACAGACCAGTGGTTTACACAGGCAGGCAACGGAGAGGGACTGACTAAAAAGGGGGACAGGAAGACATTTTGGGGGTGATGGAACTTTTGTTTTGTATCTTGATTCTAGTAGTGGTTATGTGACTGTATGCACTCATCGAAAGTCACAGAGGGGTGCCTGGGGGGCTCAGTTGGTTAAGCGTCTGACTTGGGCTTGGGTCATGATCTTGGGGCCCTGGGATGGAGCCCCGCGTTGGGCTCCACCCTCAGGACGGCCTGCTTGTCCCTCTAACCCTTCCCCCACCCCCACTTGTGCTTTCTCTCTCAAATAAATAAAATCTTAAAAAAAAAAAAAAAGTCAGACAGCTCTATACTAAAGAGTGAATTTTACTGTGTATGTAAGGTATGCTTCAATAAACTGGACTAAATCAAACCAAAGAGCTCTTGGGAACTAACATGCACCAGCAAACATTTTCTAAATTCAGTAGAGGCCCCAAACAATAGAGGCAAGGAAACCTCCCAGAAAGTAGGACAGAAAAACAGAGAGTTACACAATAGTAGGGAAAAGATAAGTCAACCAGAGAATAGACCCAGGACGTCCAATACCCAATTGACATGAATTACTGAAGAAAGAAAAGGGAGAAACAACAACAACAGAAAGTAGCAATTGTGAATAACGATTCATGACCATTTTATGGGCAGGAGTAACAGGAGTGTCCAGACTAAAGGGTCGAGAAGTGTCCATCACAATGAATGAAAGAGACAAGACCGGTGCCCACAATTGGTAAATCTCTAGAATGACAAAAATCAAGAAGGGATCCTGAAAGTTCCCAAGACAGGAAGGGTGATAGTTTCATATAAAAGATCATTAATCAGAGTGATTCTGGACTTCTTTACAGCAACACTGAGGGCTACCGAGAATCCTATGCCCAAATCATGAGTCAAATAAAGGCATTTTCTACTAAGGCTTCTCTAAAGAAGCTCTATCTCCAATATATCTCCACCAAAATGGGGGATTAATCAAGAAAGAGAAGACATGGGACCCAACAAGAGAATTCCTAACAAAACAGCTGCTAATAGACCTGAAGCAAAGAGTCCATACTGAAGCCAGAGAGTGAAGACTGCCAGAGTTGGGGGCTCCAGGAGAGGCTCCCTGATAACGTAGGACTGATGACCACAGGCTGACCCTATCAAGATTGTTTGAGGGTGCCTGGGTGGCTCAGTGGGTTAAGCCTCTGCCTTCGGCTCAGGTCATGATCTCAGGGTCCTAGAATGAAGCCCGGCATCTGGCTCTCTACTCAACAGGGAGCCTGCTTCCTCCTCTCTTTCTGCCTGCCTCTCTGCCTACTTGTGATCTCTCTCTCTGTCAAATAAGTAAATAAATTCTTTAAAAATAAATAAATAAATAGATAGATAAATAAATAAATAAAATACAGGGCAACCACTAACTTCAGGCAAGACAAAGGTATTTAAGAAAATGTGATCATGTATTTCAAGGCTCAGCAGTAACATTTACATAATCATAACAGCACAGACACTCGGTACTAATTTAGCCAAAATCTATAAATCAGTTCTACTGAAATTAAAGGAGGTGCAAGCACACGAGGGTGGTGGTACAAGAGATAAACTCTTATCTCCCACAGTAGCCATCAAAAGCTAATGCCTATAATTTAAAAATTAGGAAGAAATAGAAAGAGAGAACACTAGTAGTAAAAGAGTATTACTAAGAATTAGGAAGTTAAATAATGAGAAAAGAACCACAAGTATGAAAAGTGGTTGCAGGGGCACCTGGGTGGTCAGTGGGTTAAGCCTCTGCCTCTGGCTCAGGTCATGATCTCAGGGTCCTGGGATCAACCCCCATGTCAGGCTCTCTGCTCAGCAGGGAGCCCGCTTCCCCTCACCCCTGCCTGTCTCTCTGCCTACTTGTGATCTCTATCTGTCAAATAAATAAATAAAATCTTTAAAAAATAAAAACAAAAAGTATATATATAAAAATAAAATAAATAAAATAAAAATAAAAGTTGTTGCCTCTGGGGACTGGAATCAGGGGGTGGCTGGTAGTGTTTGTTATAATTCATGCAGAACCACCTGTCTTTTTAACCTCTATACACCATATAGATCACTGATTTAAAAACGTTTTAAAGATTTTGCTTATTTATTTATTTAGAGAGAGCGTGCACACAAGCAGGGGGAGGGGCAGAGGGAAAGGGAGAGAGGATCCCAAGCAACCTCCATGCTGAGCAAGGAACCCCTGATGCAGGACTCGTTGTCACAACCCTGAGATCATGACCTGAGCCTAAAGCAAGAGTCGGATGGATGCTCAACCAACTGAGCCACCAGGCACCCCTGATTAAGAAACATTTTAAAGATTTTACTTATTTATTTGAGAGACAGAGATTGCAACAGAGATAGTGAGAGAGAGAGAGGGAGCGAGCATGAGTGGAGAGGAGAGGGAAAAGCAGGCTCCTCGCTGAGCAGGGAGCATGACACAGGGATCCATCCCAGGACTCTGGGACCATGACCTCAGCCGAAGGCAGAAGCTTAGCTAGCTGAGCCACCCAGGTACTGCTAAGAAACATTTTAAAGGTGAGGACTGACACCACGGCTGCTACTGTTCTACAGAAGTTGGAGGTTCCACAGCATTTAAACAGATCTCTTCCACTCACTTTTGCACACAACTTGCTAATCATTCCAGAATCTAGAATCCCCATCTCAATTATATCAGCCAGAAGGCTAATGAGTTTATTCTCTTTTCTCAAACCTTTTCCTTCTTACAGACCTCTTTTCATTTGACAGACAGAGATCACAAGTAGGCAGAGAGGCAGGCAGAGAGAGAGGAGGAAGCAGGCTCCCTGCTGAGCAGAGAGCCCAACGCGGAGCTCGATCCCAGGACCCCGGGATCATGACCTGAGCCGAAGGCAGAGGCTTTAACCCGCTGAGCCACCCAGGTGCCCCCATAGATTTATTTTCTTAACTAAAGGCTGGGAAGTCATGGAAGAGGACGCCGGCATCCCAGAGCAGAGAAGCCAGTGGAGTACCACCACTCATTTTTTTCATCCCAGCAGCCACCACTTTGCTGGTGGCTGTCTGTCTTCTCCAACTACAAACTCGCTTCTCCTCCAGCTCTCTGCTCAGTGGCTAGGGCCCCTCATGGCATTTCCCCACCAGGAGAAAGCTCTATTTCCCACTAACGGGCCATTCAGAAGGACCTAGCTCTTGTGCCCCATTCGTTTGCTGGCACACTGTTCCCAAGACGCTTTGCCCTTCTAAACCAAAAAAGCCATTCGGGTGGCTCCTAAACAAAAGGGCTCCACCAGCCCAGGATCTCCACCCTGGGCAACGGAACTGAACCAAAACCACAGTCATTCTAAAGCACATCAAATTCTTAAGCAGTGCCATTTCCCACCCAAATATCCTGAAGCAGAAGGGAGGTGGAAAAATCACTCTTCCTTGGTTGAGTATACACGAGTGTGCTCACACACACACACACACACGCGCGCGCCCGCGCTGCTATTCTTATGTGTGCCCAGGAAACAAAGATTATGGTGGAGAGGTCTATTTCAGGATTTAATCCCTCCCTTCCACTCAGTAAGTTCTTCCTGGAATCTGACTCAATCATCCCATTTTCTCTATCCATGCTTTGTGCGAACCAAAACCACTCTCACAATAATCCAGAAATAGGATCTCAAGTCTCAGTCTCCCGGACGCCTCTCTGTCCAGCCTACTGCTCCTGACTTGCTCTGTTTCCCACCTGTAGGCTCTGTCCCCGGCGGGAGGCTGCGAGCGCCCGGCACGGTGCTCAGCAGTCATGGGTCTTACAGACAGACCAACGCAGGGGCTGCACACCCCAGCAAGCCTGGAGGTTCTGTTCCCTCTAAGGAAAAGAGCTGCGAGTCCTGGAACGCCTGTTACACGGGCACCCCCGCTCCGGCCCAGCCACTCACCTTCGGCTCACCCTGAGCGGCAAAGCGAGTGCGCAGCACGTCCACGGGCTGCACGGCCAGGGTGGCGGCGCTGGCAGACAGGCCGCCACACACAAAGTGCACGGAGAAGTCGCGGGCATCGTATGTGGTGGCTCTGTGCACCAGCTCGGTCAGCAGCTCGAACGACAGAAACTACAAGAGCACGTGACAAAGTCATTGACAAACGGTCCCCCAAGCCCACTGGGGGCCTGTCAGGACAGTCTCCTGGGGCAACGCCTAATTAATATTCAGTTTGGGCTAAGTCCCCGCGGTGGGGGGAACGTATGGAAGGGAATGCCCATATGGTACAGCTTGGTCTGACACTGTCTTCAATTTCAGACTTCAAACTTCACGTAGTGTCCCCGTTAAGACAAGCAGAAGTGTGGGGACCACCTCCTGCTGCCCCAGCCAGGCAACGTCCCTGCAGGCCCCACCTTCCTAGTGCTCCTCTGTTGAGCAACATGACCCCAGGGCCCTGGCCCATTCCCCTGCCACCTACTTGGACAGCTCCGTAGCCTATAGAGAGAAGCTGCGCTGGGACGTGTCCTTTCCAGAATGCTGTGGGGCCTTCCTCCTGCAAAATCTGTCTCCCAGCCTGTAGGATCCCATGGTATTTTGCACCGGGGTCACTGCGAGACAGGCGCTCAATCTGGAGCTGGGAATCAGAATCGAAAAGGTCAGGATGACAAGGCAGTGTGGGGTGAGAAGGAGAAATTTTGGAAAATGTAACAAAGGCAGCGAAGCTCTTCTCCTTGACGAAATTCCAAACTCTGGAAACTGCTTTGACGAGAAAGAGAGAACTGGTCCTCCAGCCCATTACATGGGGAAAAAAAGGAGGAAAGGATACCTGGAAACGGATCTTGATGACATCCAAGGGGCTGATCATCACCCGAGTGACAAGTCCAGACACAGACCCGGCCACTGCCACCTCAAAACTGGAGATATTCCTGCCATCAGCTTTGGGGTCATAGCCAACCATCCCTGCCTCTGGCCCATACAACGTCCATCAGTTCCAATCTAAAAGCAAGAGACACGGAGTAAACACCAGAGCAAGTTCTTAGGGTCTCTGCTCACAAGCCACTTCCTCAGAGCAGCCCTCCCTGACCATCCCATCTTGCCCTGCTTTATTCTTCTGCATAGCATTAATATACTGGACATTTATTCTGGACATCTGTTTCTTGCCACCTTCCCCCACTAGAATGCAAACCTATGAAAACATGGCCTTGCTCTCATTTGCCCATCTCTGTATTTCCAATGCTTGGAACACAGCCCAGCACGGTGAGTGCTCCTCTCTGTTGACTGAATGAACGGACAGGGGTGGTAGGAAATCATTCACTTTCAGAGATCAGCTCGCTTTCCAAGACACCTGGCTTTATGGCTGGAGGGAAAGTCCCAGCCTGAGCCAGGGGGCAGAGCCCAATGCAGCTGAGCACCGAGGCAGACATCTGATATGCAGGCCCAGGAGAACCGTGAGGGATTCCCCAATAAGCCCACGTGATCCAGAGAAACCCAGCAACTCCTGAGACCTCCTGCATACCGCCCCGCCCCCGCCCCACCACTGTCTGCACACCGCAGGCCAGCTGCAGCAATGCAGCCATGCTTGGCTTTGAAATGATGTTCCTTGGCCCACTTGATCCCCGTTGACCTCTTCAACCTCCCCCTGGACCTCTCTTCAGCCACTTCAATAGGGTGGGCTCTGCTCCTGACCAGTTTCTAGAAAGCACTGCTTGGGTTCCTATCTGCCAACCTTGCCTCTGCACCTACTGTTCCCCATGTCTGAAACACAGCAGCTCTCCCTGTCCCCCTGCCCCATATATCTCCCCTCACTCTTCCCCAGATGAGCCCCTCCCATGCACCACAGCTCAGCTAAGGAGCATTGCCCCTCCAATCCAGGGGTTGTCCTCATGTCCTCTCTAGTATTCACAGCACTTGCTCCTGGTTGAGAAACGCTGTTCTAAATTCATCTTTTTTTTTTTAAATTTTATTTATTTATTGGGCAGAGAGAGATCACAAGCAGGCAGAGAGGCAGGCAGAGAGAGAGGGGGAAGCAGGCTGCTCGCTGAGCAGAGATCCTGGTGCGGGGCTCGATCCCAGGACCCTGAGATCGCCACCCAACAGAGGCTTCAACCCACTGAGCCACCCAGGCACCCAGAGAACCGCTGTTCTAGAGAAACACTCCCATGGGTGTGTAAAATGTCATGAATTACGTCACTGTTTGTAAAACTGAGTATCACACAAATGCTTATCAACAGAGGGATGGGATAAATAGTAAGTCACATTCACGCAATCCTCTGCAGCCATGAAGAACGAGCTAGAGAGATACACACACTTGAAAAGATGACCACAATACACTGAAACATGGGAAAAATGTTTCAGAACAGTATGTCTAGTATAACCCCATTTTTGCAAAAGAAAAACAGCAAGACCTATATACACCCTGTACAGTAGTAGAAAGCACAGGGGAAAACTCTGTATCAACACACACACGGACAGGTTGGTAAGATCACCTCTGGGGGAAGGGTTGGCAAAGGAAGAGAGAAAACACATCTCTCCCCTTCCTTATACAATTCTATATCCTGTGAATCTGTTATGCCCCACCCCACCCCACCCCAAGACAATTAAAACTAAATATAAAATGAATTTAGAAGGGGCTGCAGAGCTAACCTAGTTCTTGAATACCAACAGTAACAGGAAAGTCAGTGTCCACACAGGGCCGAGCGGATTCTTTTTTGCCTCGGAAACTCTGTCTGCTCTACTCCCTCAGCCCCAAATTTGCTTTCGTGTATGAAAGTAGTGCTCCAAGCCATCCTTAACATTAACATGGCATTTCTACGAGGCACTCGCAGCAAAGCATTCCAAGATAATATATTTTTTTAAAAGTCTAACGGTGAGGTGCCTGGGTGGCTGACCAGGCGACTCTTGATTTCAGCTCAGGTCGTGATCTCAGGGTCGTGAGGTCGATCCCCACAACCAGCTCTAGGCTACTCTCTTTCCCGAGTCCTCCAGGCTATAGCTAAATTCCCCCAGTACCCGGGGACGCTTATTTAACCTGGGTTCTCCTCTCTCTCTTCTGGATAATGGGAATGATGTCTGCCCTACCTAGCCCAGACTGCTGGGACGATCATGCAAGACACCATATGTGGTAAGCCTTGTAAGAAAGATAAAAGTCTAAAGCAAGCGAAAGGGCTGTTAAATATAGTTGCAGTTACTTTACTTTTCCCACTTGCTCGAATTTCCTTCTTGTACCAGTAAGCCTTGATATTTACCTAAAGAGACAAAATAAAAATGAAATACGACTGTATATGCGTGATATACAGAATAGAGCACGTAGAGACGGGGTCCCTGGAGTGAGTGGCGGGGGGGCGGGGGGCGGGACGGAGAGCGCCTCCGCCATGCCCCTTCCCTTACTGCGGAAGCCCCGGGCGCTGGGCTATGAGCGGTGAGCTCCCGTGCCCGTGTGTCCCTATGTTCAGCGAGGGGTCCCCAGAGACGTCCCCGCGTGTGGACACACATGTCCAGCTGTGCCTTGGGGCGTTTTCGCCCCAAGTCCGAGAAGACGCCCGCGAAGCACGCACCCACGTGTATGGATGTCCCCTATGGGTGTCCAGCATGTGTGCGAGCTTTTGGCCCCTGCGTCCCTGAAGATGCTTCTCAGGTCAGGTATGACACGTGCGCGTACAGGCCCTGCCTCCACGTGAGTGCCGGCGCCTGTGTGCGACACCCCAGTCCCCGAGAGCACGTCGAGGAAGGAGAAGGTAGAGGTTACTCACCCGGCACGAAGGGCGCGGCAAAACTCCGCGCGCGCTTCTCTTCCTACCTCCTCACGCAGTCTCACAGCAAAACTAATTGAGCCTGGCAGTAACTGGCGGGCTTCCGGACCAATCACCAGGCAGCGGCCGACAGGGGCTGGACCAATAGTTATACAGTAACAGATGGGCACCACCTCTTGCAACGTATCACTGGGTAATGTAGTTCATCGCTAACGAGGCTGTCCCCGTTTTGGGGGCAGAGCCTTCTGGGAGGTGTAGTCTCACTACGCGCGCGTGCGCGAATGTTATTCACGCGTGGGAAGGTGGCGCTTCTCGAAGTACGGATGTGCCCTCCAGAGGTCGCAGCGCTAAGTGGCGCGTGGCTGCTGTCGTCTTTCGAGTGGGGGGCAAGGTTGGGTGCTCTGAATTTGACCCGCTTTCTTCAAAACCCTCGTAGTCCCTGAACCCCGATAATCTAAACTTGGGAAAGAGATGGTGGGAAGTTTAACTAAAACCTGGAGGACTTGGGAAAGAGAGTAGATGAGTTTTTGAAACCAGGAAGAGGACGGCAAAAATGTAGAATTTTGTTTCTCCCTAGGGTTTATTATGTATAATTTCTCATAAAAATAAAATACATTACAGACGCTACAGAAAATGTAGAAACGCAGGGGGAAATGGCGCATCCTACCGCTTTCACGCCAAGTAGCATCAGTGTTTTGCAGGACAGTATTTCTTCCTGATTTTTTAATTGCATTTTCCCCGTTAGTGCAATCACTTTGACACACAATTTTAAAACATCATTCCCCCCACATTATTTTGAAATAAATACCAGACATCATATGATTTCACCAGTTAACATTTCAGAATGTATCTTTAAAAAGACAAGAATTTCCCTTTTAAACACTTTTTTTTTTTTAAAGATTTTATCTATTTATTTGACAGAGATCACAAGTAGGCAGAGAGGCAGGAGGAAGCAGGCTCCCCACTGAGCAGAGACACCCCCCCCTTCCCCAATGCTGGGCTCAATCCCAGGACCCTGAGATCATGACCTGAGCTGAAGGCAGAGGCTTAACCCACTGAGCCACTCAGGCGCCTCTATTCATTTCTTTTTTAAGAAAGTAGGTGGTTTGTCCTGTTGAGTTTTCTGCAAGCTGGATCTTGCTGGTGGCATCTGCATGGAATTGTCTTAAGATCTTCCTCTGCCTCCTGTGTTCTCTGGATATTGGTAGTGAGATCTAAGCGGTCTGATCAAATCACGTTTGATTTTTTTTTTTTAACAAGATTACTTATGTGGAATTGTGTACCTCCATAAGGAGAATTAAAATGAGTTCTTGTCTCTCATTCTGTGGTGTTTGCAGCCATTAATATCATTGCATTGATTAGGGGCTGTAAACAGTGACATCACTTTAGCATTTAAGCTGGAATACCTGGAAGAGGAACATTCCTTCATTGGTTAATTAATTACATGAGGTCCACTTCATAGAAGAAAGGAAGGATAAACTCATGACTCTTTATTTTTAGCAGTTTTCAAAGTAATTAATTGGTTCCCTAGTATATTCCAAAGGTTACTGATCAACGAGATTTTTTATTGTTATTATCGTTATGACCATAAAACATTTTATTTTGTTTTAATTAATTTATTTTTAATTAATTATTTTATTTTATTTTTTTTTTTTTTGAGTAGTAGACACAAGTAGGCAGAGAGGCAGGCAGAGAGAGAGGGGGAAGCAGGCTCCCCACTGAGCCAGATGCGGGGCTTGATCCCAGGACCCTGGGATCATGACCTGAGCTGAAGGCAGAGGCTTAACCCACTGAGCCACCCAGGCACCCCTTTATTTTTAATTTTTTTAAAAATAAGCTCTATGCCCAACATGAGACTCGAACTCACGAACCTGACACCAGGAGTTGCATGCTCTGTGGACTGAGCCAGCCAGGTGCCAACATAAAACATATTTTATATCTATCTTTATGAACACATGGATTTAAACATATTCTCGGGGCACGTGGCTGTCTCAGTTGGTAGAACATGTGACTCTTGATCTCGGGGTTGTGAGTTCAAGCCCCATGTTGGATGTAGAGTTCACTTAAAAACAATAAAATAGGGGCACCTGGGTGGCTCAGTGGTTAAGCCTCTGCCTTCAGCTCGGGTCGTGATCTCAGGGTCCTGGGATCCAGCCTCGCATCGGGCTCTCTGCTCAGCAGGGAGCCTGCTTCCCTTCCTCTCTCTCTGCCTGCCTCTCTGCCTACTTGTGATCTCTCTCTGTCAAATAAATAAATAAAATCTTTAAAAAAAAATAAATTAAAAAAAAAACAATAAAATAGGAGTGCCTGGGTGGCTCAGTAGGTTAAGTGTCTGCCTTTGGCTCAGGTAATAATCGTGGGGTCCTGGGATCAAGCCCTGTTTTGGAGTCCTGGGATGGAGCCCCATGTTGGGCTCCTTGCTCAGTGGGAAGTCTGCTTCTCCCTCTCTCTCTCTCCCTCACCCTGCACATGTTCACTCTCTCTCTCTCTCAAATAAATAAGATCTTTTAAAAAATAAAGGGCACCTGGGTGGCTCAGTTGATTAAACATCTGTCTATAGCTCAGGTCATGATCCCAGGGTCTTGGGATCTAGCCCCAAGTTGGGCTTGCTGCTCACTGGGGGCCACTTCTCCCTCTCCCTTTGCCTGCAGCTCCCCCTACTTGTGCTCAGATAAATAAATAAAATATTTTAAAAAATAAAATAATTTAACATATTTGTTCTTTTTCAATTCATTCTAGTTAGTATCCTAATTGACACATTTCCCCTTCTTTGGCTAGGTGCCTATTCAAGTTGGCACCTGAATCCTTTTGACAAAATGACTAGTTTTCTCACTTGCGGATGTAACAAGATGTTCTAGGCTCATCACAATTTTTTTTTTAAGATTTTATTTATTTATTTGACAGAGATCATAAGTAGGCAGAGAAGCAGGCAAAGAGAGGAGAAAGCAGGCTTCCTGCTGAGCAGAGAGCCCGATGCGGGGCTTGATCCCAGGACCCTGGGATCATGATCCGAGCCGAAAGCAGAGGCTTTAACCCACTGAGCCACCCAGGCGCCCCTCATCACAATTTTTAAATAGTTTTATTGAGGTATAATACAGATGTAATTGACTACATGTATTCCAAGTGAACAATTTTATGGTTTTTTTTAAGATTTTATTTATTTATTTGACAGAGAAAGATCACAAGTAAGCAGAGAGGCAGGCAGAGAGAGAGAGAGAAGCAGGCTTCCCACTGAGCAAAGAACCCAATGTGGGGCTCAATCCCAGGACCCTGAGATCATGACCCAAGCTGAAGGCAGTGGCTTAACCCACTGAGCCACCCAGGCGCCCCCAATTTTATGTTTTGATGTGTGTGTACATTGCCACACAATAGTGAACATATGTCTGTGACTCCAAAAGATTCCTCACTCTCCTTTACTATCCTACCTTCTTCTTCCCTCTTCCCCAGGCAATCACTGATCTGCTTTCTGTCATGTAGTTTAGTCAGCCTTTTATAGAATTTTATATAAATGGAATTACACATGATGTTCTTTTTGTCTGGTTCCTTTCCCTCAGCACAATTACCCTGAGATTTATCCACATCGTGTGTATTGTGTATTATGAGTTGATTCCTTTTCCTTGCTGAGTAATATTCCCCTGTATGGCTGGGCAACAATTTATTTATTTGGGTTGTTTCCAGTTCAGGGCTGGAAACAAATAAATTACAAATAAAGCTGCTGTAAATATTCATTCATAAGTCTTTGTATGAACATCTGCATTAATTTCTCTGGGGTATAGACTTTGGTGTGAAATGACTGGATCATAGGGTCAGTATATGTTTAACTCTTCGAGATACTGCCCAATTTTTACAAAGTGATTGTACTATTTCACGTCCCTGCGTGCAGGATGACATTTCTAGCTCTTCCACATCCTTGGTGAGGTCATTCTTTATAAACCTATGTATTTTAACAGATAAGTAGTAAAATCTCACTGTGGTTTTAATTTGCATTTCCCTAGTGACTAAGGTTGAGTGCCTTTTTGTGTACTTACTTGCTATCCTTATATCTTCTTGGTGAAGAATTTGCTCCAATCTTTTGCCCATTTTTAATTGGATTGCTTTGTTTCTTATTGTTGAATTTTGGGAGTTTATATCCGCTTTCTGGATGTAAGCCACTTATCATTACATATATAGCTTACTATTCTATATGCGGCTTGAAAAACTCATGTCTTTCAAAGAGCAGAAGTTCTTAATTTTAATGAAGTCCAGTTTATTGATCTTTTTTTCCCTTTACTGGATCATGCTTTTGATATCATACCTAAGAGTTCCTAGCCTAGCCAAAGGCCATAAGGATTTTTCTCCTACGTTTTCTAATAGAAATTTTGTAGTTTTACGTTTTACATGTATGTCTCTGATTCATTTAGGGTTCTTTTTTTTTTTTTTTAAGGCAAGCTCTAGGCCCAACATGGGGCTTGAACTTGTGACCTCAGGATCAAGAGTCACATGCAAAATGCCTGGCTGACTCAACTGGAGAATGTGTGACTCTTGATTTCAGGGTCATGGGTTTGAGCCCCACATTGGGTGTAGAGATTACTAGAAAATAAATAAATAAACTTAAAAAAAAAGAGAGAGAGAGAGAGAGTTGCAAGCTCTCCCAGCTGAGCCAGCCAGGCACCCGTGGGTTCACTTACGTGTATGTGTGAGATATGGATTGAAGTATTTCAAGTATTTTTTTGGTCTTTGGGTTTTGTTTTTGTTTTTTGTTTTGTTTTTGCATTTGGATATTTCATTGTTTCAGCACCTAGAAGTCACTGTTTTTGTTGAAAAGTCTATTTTTTTCCCCCTGAATTGCCTTTTGCACCTTTGTTGAAATCAGTTGTTCACATGTGCACATTTTGACTTCTGCTTCTCTTCATTCACTGTTAAGTGCTGATAAGCATTGTCCCCACGGGAAAAGGGTAGTTAAAAATGTTAAAGTGGGGGCGCCTGGGTGGCTCAGTCGGTTATATTGTCTGCCTTTGGCTCAGGTCATGATCCCCGGGTCCTGGGATCAAGTTCCGCATCCTGCTTCCTGCTCATTGGGAAGCCTGCTTCTCCCTCTCCTCCCTGCATGTAGTTTCTCTCTTTCTCTCAAATG